TTGCTCAGTTTTTAGTGTCCTAAGAGAAATATCTGGCTGCTTAGCTGCTAAATGCCACCAGACTCTTAATGTTTCTGTTTGCCATTTGCTGCTGAGCGCAGGCAGAGTGAAGTGGGTTTATCTGAGCTTTTTGCTTCAGACAGCTGCCTGGTGCAGCTAAAAACAAGGCTGATGAAACTGGTGAGACTAAAACAGTAAAGTTAATTCTCAGTGAGCTAAAATCGTGTGACAATTTTCTGTGAGTTTTTCACTACGCACGACAATGGTCACATTATATATTTAACATGTTAATATAAAAAAATCAATAAGTGCTGCTTTAATGTTTTTCAACCCAATCCAAATGAAGTTCAGACTCCACCCCTCGATTTGTAATCCACTAAAGTGCTTTGTTGCACAGCAACACTCGAAAATGAACTCCAGGCTGTCTTAAAATTAAGTAATAAAAATTCCCATTGCACTCCCACAGCCATATTTCCATCTTTTCTAATTGAATTTCTTCAATCAATCTTCAATCCAAACAACGCTTTACTTGAGATATTACTTTTCTTTCTATCTTCAAAGAATTCAAATGAAAGCTTGTGCAAATAAGAGCCTATATATAACCCAATATACAGTCAGATTTAAAAAGCAGCTAAAGTAGCTCACTTTGGTACTTAAAATAAAAGATCTTCAATTAGGGATTTATTAATTTATTTAAATCACTCGGAAAAATCACCTGAAAAATGAATACATTCCCTTTGTTCAAACAAAACAAATCATATCAATCAAGTATACTTACACTAATAATAATCATTACAAGCGCAATCATACCTACAATAACTACCATTGTAAATAAAACTACCAACATTAAACATCCACCATACAACATCAGGGGGAACTGGAGGGTATGGCTTATCCATGGGGCATGGCTTATTTCAAAAGAAATGTCAAGTAAATTAAGGTATTACATCCAGTAGGCCTAATTCAAGTCAGAAACCCCACCAACTATATATTTGTGACACAGTAGATCAATTGTGCAGAATAATAGCTGCCAAGAAAAATACTTTGTTTCATTCCTAAATGCTATACATCCATTTTAGAAACATAAATATGTTGATTGATGTTATCTACCCTTTTTCAAAATATACAGGATATCTCATTTCATTTATTAGCTCCTGCTTTAGCTGCAGCAAAGCGGCAGTTACTCTTTTCCGTCGGGTCAATAAAGGTTCATACATCCTCTAAAATGTCATGATTCTGTAAACATACAGCACCTCTGCAATAGTAACTTCAATAATATTTCTTACCAAGTTTTATTACAGTGGAATATTTGTCACATTTTTCATTTGGACCAAGAAACAAAACTCTTGTTCCTTTTTTTTTATGCAACAAATAATACAAAACAAAGAGGTGTAAATTAAACTATTTATAAGATGAGATGAGGATCACGAACCAACCAAAATGAAAGCACAGTAGTTGCCTTAGCATAGACCCCTCATTTCATGTGCTTTTTTGAAATTTATCCAGCTTAACATTTGCCAAAGATTGTGTTTCAATGTTTTGGCATCAAAGATATTAAAAGATGTCTCTGTGTTCCTTCTAACACCTGAGAGTCTGACGAATACCTGGAACACAATCAATCTCATCCCATAATTAAAAGGAGAATTGTATGAATGTAATGGTAATGGCACTTAAATACAATAATAAACAGGACAAACTTTAGAAATGGCCCTGTGATGGCAAAAGGTTTATATAGGAAATCTTAAAATAGCAATGAACAAGCAACCAAAACTCAAACCTGACTTTGCATCAGGTTATGAACAAAATTATAACTTTTTCTTAGCATTGTCTCTTAAATAAATAAGTTTTTCTTGCCAAATGGAATAAAGTATCCTCTCAGGATGTGGTATAAAGCAGAATAAGGATCCCTAATTCCAGCAGAGAAGGGAGGTGAGAGGGCACGATTTCAGAGGTAGCACACTGTACCACTGCAGCTAATACAGAGAAAGTTTCAATAATAAATGGGCATAACATATATATATTTAATGTCTTTAAAATCATTTTTCTCAATTCATGGATTGCAGCTTCACGTTAAATGAAAACAGATGTGCATTTTAACGTTTCAAAATACTGTATTGCAATGCAGGCCAAATAAACAAACGCATATTTCAAAAGAAGATTACTTAAAACCGCAATCCAGTATTCTTGAAAGCACCACTGCTATTTTGGTTACACAACATAGGCGAGATATTTTAAGAATTTGTCGTATTATTTCATCTTTAACAGAAGTGTGCTATGCTGGGAAATTATTCAGCTCTCATCCCATGAACACAGTCATATCATAGCACTATAGTTTCTGGATTGCAGCATTAAGAGTTATAATATATAAGAATCAGTGTTTACCACACGTTCAGCATGCCTGAAGGCCTACCCTTGATTTGAATACATTTTACATATAAGAATAGATATACATTAAGCTATTTTATACATTTCTGGTAACATAAACATATAATTTTGTATCATTGATATTTATCTTGAAAGAAAATGTCTTTTTAAAGGCAAGAGGTTAAGATAAATTATATCAACCATGAAATTCATAATATAAATGGTTCAGAGTTCACCAACACACTGCTTATTAATTCATCACCTGACTACAAAAAAAAGGACATTTAATATACAAAGTTTACAAGTTCTTTTGTATTGGCATTGTTATTTTGGGCCCTGTGGCACAGACTGTAAGGCAGTCAAATCCTATGCACATATACTACATATCCCTGCGTGGAAACTCTTTATTGTTCTGTTGTTCTCACCGTCTCTCCTCTTTGTGTTCGTCTGCGATTTGTGTCCAATCCTCTCAGAACTTTCATGTTGTATAATGCAAAAGGCTGAATGCCACCCTCTTCTGAAAAAACGGAAGAGTCAGCAGGTTGGATAAAAAAAGATGCCTTCCGATAAGAAAGCCATGTCAAAGTTTTTTTTGTACATTAGAATAATATCTGACAGCAAACCGACTTACTCGTCCTCGCATTTAAAAAGCACATGCAGAACTGTTGCACATCTATGCTTCAGAAACATTAAACACAACAGATGAGTAATTCACTACTCGCGATAATATGATTTGTTTCCAGTTGCACATCATGTTTATAATCATAGTTATTAAAATGTATCCATATAGCACTTTTCAAATCAATGTTACAAAGTGCTCTGCAACAAAATTATCATGAAGAAAAGAAAATACCAGGCGTGAAGGGCTGAGAGTCGAAAGGCCTTGATTTTATCACTTTTCAGGTTACCACGATTTTTTCCACCCCCACCCCCCGAGAAAGTTGGTTCAAATCAAAGCAGGAGCGAGCAGGATCAATTCGATCAGCCAAACCACATCTGGAGGTGTCCTGGCTCGCATTGCTCTTCCTGATATCTTAAGCAAGCTTAGCAAAAGATACACGTGGAGGTAGCAGCTGGGAAGTCTTCGCCTGCAAAAAGTGATTTAGAAATGACTGACGGCCGTCAATGACATTGCTTCCCTCTTTAAGCGCTGTCTCACTAATTTGCAGATTGAGATCAGACTCATGATAAAGATGACACTTATTAATACCTGGTATAAATGCAAAGGCCTGTGGATTGGATGATACTGAATCCAAATAATGGTTCCAGATACACATCACCTATTAAGACCAGATGTAAATAGGCATGGGTCAAGCTCCAAAATGCTGGGTCCTACGTTTCCCATAATGCAACCACTATCGCCTTTTCATTCGACCTTTACTGTTTGGAAAATGCCCTTGTTTTACAGACTCTGCACCCACACTTTCTAACGCAGCCTTTCGTTTCCTACATTTTTGTCGTCTCCAAGCCCAAGCCTGACTTGACAACGCTCCGCCGCGGCCACGGAAGACATTTTACTACTTTTTCCACAGGCTGAGTAGTTCTCCTGATGACGAGAAGAGCGACCTTACTGTGTAAAAATTGGTGGAGTGCCCCCTTTTATCTATATTTAGGAACATTTACACATTATTTTTCTCTGTCTATAATGTTTATGAAGCACTTTGTATCACCATTTTGAAATGTTATATATATACATATCACTATTATTATTGTTACAAAGTGAACAAAACACGTTTTAATCTCAGATTATTTTTGTAAAATATTTTCATTATTAAAAATTTTCAATAGCTCTAAGAAATACTTTGTCTATACACTGAAATTCAAGAGATTGTAGTTCTAGCTTTACACTGTCTGCCGAAGGAAAATGTAACCAACGAGAGGATTCAGATTGTGTTTAAAGCAGTTGTAATAATGTAAGTTGATTGTAGGACTTGTTTGGCATCTATTTAGGTAGGATGGCTGTACTAAAACGGATGCAAAAAGATGCACAAATCATAACGATAACCACCTCTGTGAGTGAGAATATTTTTGCAGTGAGAATATGTTACTAAATGATTTCATCAGAATCAAATAGTAATATACAGTAGGTCTTTGCTTGGGCCCTGCATCTGAGGATCATAGATGGCAAATGATTTAACAACATGCTTGTTGCTTGTCACAGGCGTCACCTTGGGGGGATATTGTGCTTGTAAAAGCCTTTTCTATACATTTTGTCTGCAGCCACTACCGTGAGAAGCGAGTGTGCTGCTTGTAGCAGGGAAATCATGAATCCATCTTCATCCTCAGTGTTTTACACATATCTTCTCATGTCTTCCGATTAAATAAAGAAACTCATTAGGTTCAGTATTGCCGTTATTGTGGCATTGGCTTATATTTCAGTCAACATGTGCAGAAGGTTCGCCGCACATGTTGGTCCTCACGCTAAACTGATTGTCAAGTTCTGGTACAGGCAAAGTTTGAATATGTGCAAAGTTTTTTTTTTTGTTTTTTTTAAGAATTTTGTGAGATGAAGCCTCCAGTAGTCCTGCCGGATCCACTGCAGAGCTTTGTTTTCATGGGGTTTTTGTAGAGAATGTGAATCAGTCTTCTTACACTCGAATGACCATCATGAACTCTGGTCACTTTGGAACTGGCAGTCAGGATCCTGGGTGGCCACCATAGCCCTGGCTGATAGACTGAAGGGAGAGAAAACAGGTGAAATTACTTCTTATCTCCATTTATAGCTTCATGAGGGCGCAAGTTTAAAGGAAAAGTTCAACAGTTTGGGTTAAATGTGTATTCATTTTCTTGCAGAGAGCTAGAAGGAGAGATGGATACCACTCTCATGTCTGTGGGATAGAGAGCCAGCAGGCAATTAGCTTAGCACAAAGACTGGAAACAGCTAGCCTGGCTCTGTCTGAAGGGAATTTACAATTTAAGGGGGGTTTTGTGATATTTCTTGGCTGAGAGCCATTGCCCAGCAACCAGCAGAGACTCCAGGAAGTCATTGCTTTTGGCCAATAATAGTCCAGCACATAAGCCCCCCTACAAACATTGAATTGTCATTTTCACACCTCGGTTTTTGTACAGATTAAACAAGCCAGATATAACATTAAATTAATGAGCTTCAGAAGTGCTGTTAGGCAGATTTTGTTATCTCTATTTCCAGTCTTTGCGCTATAAGCTAGTGGCTGCTGACTGCAGCTTTATATTTACAGAACACACATGAGAGTGGTATTAATATTCTGATCTAACTCTTTGCTCAAGAAAGTGAATAAATAAATTTCCCAAAATTTTGACGTATTCTTCAGAATCATAATTCTCTGGTTTCTGTCGTTGGGAAAGAACTGTTCATGCTCGCAGAGTAATTAACAGGACTCTCCCACTCTGAAGGAATAGCATTTCTCAACACTTGATTTTATTCCTCTTGGGCTCCAAGCACTGCAACATTCAATATGACGAGAGTGTGTGTTTATCTCATAGCTGTGACTTTGAGCCAGAGAGGACAGCTTACAAACTAATCCTCCTTTGACAACATCAAACTCCTTTACTAGACTAAAATTTTAGTTGCAGAGTTTGGATCTATCTTTATCACGCACTCATTTGTTTAAGAAGTCTGGAGTAAAACAATTATCAGACCCGGTGGAAAACATTTCTATAAATGGGACTGATTGTTTTCAAGAGGCAATTTTGTCTATTTGCCCTTGATACTGAGGGCTGAAAAGAAGGCGAGAGTTAATTTCAGGGATAGCATGTTTCTTCAGAGTTATTTCGGCTTAAACGTCACGCACACTCACACGTCTAATATTAGCTGTGAGATTGGCATAATGATTCCCGAACCCCTTACCCTAACCTTAACCATCACAACTAAATGCCAAACCCTAACCCTACAACCAAGTCTTAACCCTCAAACAGCCTTTTGCAGTTGTGAGGACTGACCAAAATGTCCTCTCAATTATAGTTTAAACCAGAATTTGTCCACACAACCATAGAAAGACATGTACACACACACACACACACACACACACACAAACACAGCCTCTTCACCTGCGTCACAATCCAGCCCACATGGTGCATTCATGAAGCTGAGCCCTGAAGAATTAACTGTGATGCTGCTGATGACTCACAGTCAAGGTTTTTTTTTAATGACGAATGTGTTCTGTGGTATAATAATAATAATCTTTTTGTGTGGCTTTGGCTTATACTTCAGTTTCAGTGCTGAAGACTTGCTATTCCTTCACAGAATCAACCTAGATTAACCTCTGTACATAAATTTAAGCTCCATCCAGCTCTTGAATTTTAGGATCAGCACTGTGTTTTCCACTCTGCCCTCAGACGTGTGCAGTAAAATGGTGAAATGTTATTTCAGGTGTGACATAAACGTACTTTTGAAAAGATGGGAACAGGTGAAGTGCATGAAAGCGGCAAGCTTTTTCCCCTGCACTGGCTTTGGCAAAAGCTCTGGATATGATGTAAGAATGATGCAAACTGTTTTAGGACATGACTGGTTTAGCGAATAGGGATGATAAAAGATGTAGACACAGGCACAAACCTGGTCTGTGAGGATTCGAGGCTTAATATCAGGAATGGCACCCCCTCTCAGCTCATCTTCCACAGCCATGAGTCTGACAACAGGGAAATAGAAACAAACATACCGGTTGACAAAAATAGAACTATGAAGCCGGTGTTCTCCAAAGTTACTGTAGGATTATGTGGCCATATGATGATATTAAGGTCTTGACGTGATCCTGCTATCCTCTGAGCGCCCTGAAGCTGAATCTGAACTTCCTTTAGAACAGTTAAGACAGCTCAAATTCAGCTGTTCAGATAGACAACTTGTGAAAACTAGCGAGTGTGCGCAGGAGAGTGAGGTGTGTACCCATCTGCCATATCTGAATTTAGAGGAAATAGAGTATGGGAGCATACGTTAACTAAAGGAGGCTTTCTACCAAATGAGATGAGATGTGAGCTCTGTAATGCTGCAGTTATACAAAAACTTGGCTTTCAGAAAACTTGATATGGGGCAATAAACATTTCATTGAGTAGGAGTTGTGCTTTATTCCAAGAAATATCTCCTTTAAGTACGTGTAGCTACAATCAGAATTAGGCTGGCTTGGTTTCCTCTGTCCACATAATAAAGTTACTGAAATAAAAATGTGTGTAAAAAAATAAAAAAATAAAAAAGTGTTTCATATCAGGTTTGAACCTACTGGGTATGCTTTTTGGTTTTAGTCATGACACTTAAATGAGCTACCTTTAAAAGGAATAATCCAACATTTTGGGAAATAATATGCTTATTTGCTTATGTCTGTGTGTTAATGGTATCCTGTGGAGTCCTAGTGGCGCTATGGTATGGAGCAATGTATTGATGAGTGGGTTCTTTGTTGGTTTCCGTTTCGTGTTCTACAAGCATGGGCACAATAGCCATGTTTCCATCCAAATATAGCAAAATCTGAACTGAATTTCCAGAAAATCTGCAAAACAAAATGCAGTTTTTGTTCATTTCCATCCACTATCATTATGCAAGTATTTGGATAAACATCTGGTGGCACTAATTTGCCAGCAAGGTGCCACTGAACCATCACGGGACATGAGGTTGCAACAAGATGATGTAATTAAAAGAGCACCAAACCTCAGATTGTTGAAAATGTAGAAAAAGAAAATGTAAATGAAAATATGGCATTTACATTTCATTCATATTTTCTTTCAGTCTCTTCAGTGGAGCAGAAGCTTGACTGACACTTAAGTCACATGCTTCATGTGTTTCATGATTTTTATTCCACTGCACATTATTATGCTTTTATATTAACACACCAACCTTTTTAGTAAAAACTTTTTAATGATATTTCGTTTCCCACGGGGTATTTTTAAGCATGGAGCTAAAGCCAGGAGGTGATTAGCATAGCTTAGCATAAAGACTATCAGCACCTCTAAAGCCCATTAATTAACATGTTTTCATTTATCTAATCCATACAAAAATAGAAATGTAAAACCAGTAATTTGTGGTTTCAGAGGGAGTTCTTTTTTAAATTAGGACAAAGCTAATCTTGCCGTTTCCCCCTGCTTTCAGGCTTTATGCTGTGCTATGCTAACTGGCTCCTGGCTCCAGCACATATGAGAGTGATATCTATTTTCTCTCAGCAAGAAAGCAAATAAGCATATTGCCCAAATGATTGAACTATCTCTTTAAAATGAGATTCATATGACACCATACAAGTTGTATTTCAGTGGAAAACCTTTCTGTTGAGTTCTTATACAGCAGACCGAAACATTTCTTTTAATGCAAAAATAGTAAAGCTGGTCACCACTTTTAACCACCTTTCATTTGCATTCATTCTCCCTGTAGCTGTGTTTAACTACCTCTATGGATTGTTTCCTTGTAGCACTCAAACGCGTGCAGTTACAGCTGTAGTCCATGAGCTGCTATCCTTTGAAGCAACAGCAAAGATTGTTGTTATACCGTGTGCTGTTACTGTCGGACCAGGTCACATGAACGTGAGAAGCAGTAACAGACTGATGAGTGTCTCTGTGGTAAATGCACCACTTCAGTTTCATCACTCTCAGGTATATAGCCGGATATATTCATGATATAGGGCATAATTTCATATAAAAAATACAGCCTCATTTCTGCCAGCTCTATTTCAACCTTTACACTAATCACCTGCTGATGATGCCTTTGATTTGAGAGTCCTTCTCCAGTTGCTGCTGCTTCAGGCGGCGCTCGCTGTCCTCCAGGCGGTTCTGATACTGCTGCAGGATCTTGTTTGTCTGCTGTTCCTGCGTCAGAAGTCTCTGCTCATACTCTTCAAGCTTGCGATGAGACATCTTCAGCCGTTCTTTCAAGGAATGTATCTCTTCTTCGTATTCTCTTACCTGAAAGATGAAGGAAATAAAGTGACTTAGAGTTATTTGTGTCTTGTATTCTGCAGTGTTCCTGAATGATGAGTGATTTGTATCGGCACAGACACCACAGATGGTACAGATCTCTTTATGCTGAGCAGCAAGTGCAGACAAAGCTGCAGTGGAATTGTGCCGGCCTTGAAGTTTCAATGCAATAAGCACCACACACAGTAGGAATCCATTTCTAATATAGACGAGAGTGTGGGAGTTATTCATCATAGAAAATGCACAACAACAGCCATCACAATCAAACTCATGTATGATTCTGTCAAAGCTCCGATATGATGCAGAATCAGTTGAAAAGCTGTCACTTCAATCCAGGTCATATACTGTACCTGTAGCCATCAACTGTTGATGGCTAAAGATATTTTTGAAGTGTTTGGTATACAGGTGGTTTTAAACGCGTGTCTGCTTATTTGATGGGATTTACATAATATGATGATTGAAATATAGATATATTTGGAATATAGACAGTAATATTATGCTTTGCCACTTCATCAGCCAGGATATTTCAGTGGTTTTAACACATCATGTGTGCTTTGTTTTTTCTTAACCTAGGATCATGACCAGCAACCTCCTGGACAGTATTTATTCAATGTGTGTTCACCATACAAGTTGATCTGGTTTGCAACATGAAAATACTATTTTGCAACAGGAAAAACATGAAAATCAGTAACACAAGACTTGTGGTAAAAATTCTGATGGAGCAGTTCGAACCTGCTATCGTTGTCCAAACAACCTAAAACTAAAGGTATATTGTGCCAATTTAAGATCTTTAATACAAATTTATATCATATTAAATACAATATACTTTTTTTACACTAAATGTAGAAGTCAGGCTCCCATGAACAAAAGTCTATCCTTTGGAAACACCTAATAGTTTTTTAATTTACCAAATTAAATTTTGCCGTTGGGTTTGGGTCAATAAAAGATCTTTATCCTAAATACCACGGTCCAGGACACTCGAGCACAAAACACCAACATGAGACTGTCTGGTTAGGTACACATGAATCTTCTGCGCATGTTATCGATCCATGATTTCTATCCAAACAGTTGACTCTTGCTGTTGTTTGGAGCTGCCAGCATACTAAATTAGATTTTTACATTCTGCACCAGAGTGCGTGTATCATATTTTAAGAAAAGTGTACTAATCAGGAAAGCAGATATTTCATGACTACACTTCAGGTCCCTAAAGGGGCCGTCACGATAATGTTTCTCTGAGTCTCCTTTTGTATCTCAGCTTTCACTTTAAATAGTGTCATGTATATTTTAGAGAAATCTCAAAAACATCCACACACACCCTCGAAATACTGTTGCCTTTTTTAGCCTACTATCACAGGAAGCAGGTGAGTGTACTTAAAAAAAAAAAAAAAAAAAGGGTGGAAAAAAAAATACATGTACTAACCCTCTCTAACCGTGACTCATCCATGCTCTTGGAGTACTCTTTCAGCTGACCCTCACGGTCCGGCCGCAGGCTCTCGATGTCAGCAGAGAGATGTGGCATGTTGGACACCCAGGCGACTGTCCGCTCGTTGAGGGCCGGGGTGCTCAAGGTTGACTGAGAACCCTGGAACAACACAACAGGTCAGTCGTGACTTTAATTAATGTCTGAATATTAGGAATGTCCTAAAAATGAAGTGAGAGTGCAAATACAAATATTATTTCAACGTCTTTTCTCTCATTTCATGTCAAGTACGAACTGAGGCACGAAAGAATCGTCGCTGCGCAGTTTTGGAGCATCTCTTTAAGTCGAAGTTTTGAAGTTAGACTCGCCTGTTTATTGACAACTGGCTTGAGTAAATGCTGCTGTGGAGGCTGCAGCTGGGACTGTTGAGGCTTCTTGGTGCTTTTTGTCGGAGTGTCTGTTGACTCCTCTGCAGCTGCTGGCGGGCCCTGGTTGTCTTTGGCGGAGCTCGTCTGGTACGGGAGTCCGGGTGCTGGACTGTCTGTCACCGACAGCTGTGTCTCCTGTTGTTGCTGCTGTGTCTGCTGTTGCTGCTGCTGCTGCTGTTGTTGTTGTGGCGGCTGCTGAGTTTGGCGTGGTTTTGGCTGACTGCCACTGAAATTTGTGTCAGAAGAGTCGAGGAGGAGGTTCCTGCTCTGCGGGCGGACCTTTGGAGGCGTGGCAGTAGCTGGAGTGTTAATGGACCTCTGGGACTTGAGGTGTTGCGGTGGGGCAATGGATGACTGGCGGACAGGATGAACTGTAGTGGGAGGTGTAGCCAAAGAGGCGGGGGTGCCCGTCCCAGTGGCTGTTTGAGATGTGACTCCCATTAGGTGCTGCTGCTGGAGAGACTCCTGAGAGGAAAGAATAAGATAAAAGAAAAAGAAATTGTCAAGAAAATTAAGAAAGCCTAATTTCATTTACCATTTACTGAAAGTACTTTCCTAATTACTTCTTTAATTGAATGTACTGAAAACCACTATTAGTAGAATTGAAAATATCCAACTTTGATGGCCCCCAGTGTTAAATTCCAGTAAGACACAAAGGCACATGGCCTGGGCCAGGGACGCCAAAATGATTGAAGGGTTAAACAAATTCCCTGCACTATTTGTTTGGTTTTTTTTACCAAATTTTTCTACAAATGCAACCCATACGCCCTCTCAATGATTTAGAAGACACTCTAACCACAAAATATGTCACTCACATAGTGACATGGATGGACAGACAGATGGGGGGGTGGATGATCAGCAAGGCAAGTTTATATATGTATGGCACCTTTAAACAATAAGGTTAAGACATTAAGACAAGAAATAAAATTAAAAAACAATGCTAAAATTGTAAAAGTGCAAAAGTGAATAAGAGAAAAATGTTGCAGCACAACTAAACCGCAGTGGTACAGTTCCAAATTTGATTTAATAAAAGTTTTTGGAGTTTAAGCAGACCAAGTTTTTCTGGTTTGTTCCAGAAATGGGTTGTGGTGCAGAAAAACTGAATGCTGATGTCTTGGTTCGACTCTGACGACAGTGCCAGACCAGTATGGATAAATGTTTAGTTTGATGTCTAGATAGATAGAAAGACAGATGATGTACAGTATGGAGTATTTGGACATTTACACATCTTTGTGCTTCAGTACATTAAATTTGAAATAAAATAATGCATATTACATAAAGTGCCAAATATCAGCTTTAATTTGAGTAGATTTACACCAACGTAAACTTACTGTTAGGACTGACTAAACTGACTGGACGGACAGATGGACTGATAGGTAGATAGTACATAATTAATGCATAACTGTCCTGATGATAACACCATCTGTATTAATAAAACAGGAGGCTCTTGTGATGTTTGTTCCATTAAGGCCCACGCAACAGGACAGAAATAGCTTAAGACTACATGACAGTATCATTAAACGCTGTAATTTTACACAGACATGCTGTAGTAAACTTATCAGATCAGCAGCCCATGACTACACAATCAAGTCAACACTAAAAAAAGATGAGTTTAGATTTCTGTTTCATTAAAAGCTGTTCCATAAAAGGAATGAGTTTAATTCAAGTTTATAAGCTTTAACTGAAAATTCAACTTTGTTTGTAAGAGTAGACTGTAAAACAGTTAAACATCTCTATCCAGGAGATCTAAGTCTGATCTGCAGCACACTGACAGTTTAAAGACGAAGTAATATAATGATATATCAGCAGTTACGACACTTTTTTTCTGCCCTATTGACCGACGGCTTGTTTCCAGCTCTGTTGAAACAAGGACGCACAGTATGATAGTCAAGCACCCTACACAGTTCAGCAGAGGAGGTGAGTGAATGATCAGGCTTCAGTGTGTTGTCTGTACCACCACAAGTGTCTCTCAAAAGTGCCATTACATTGCTGTTAGATTTGCATATTCTACTGCTCAGGAGAGGTACATCTTTTGTAAACATTTCCCATTTTGTTTGGATCTCTGTTCTGCAACCACAAAATCAGTCTGAAAACAGAAGCGCAAGCTGGGTCTAATGAACTGAAAGGGTTAATCTGAATGCAGCAAGAAATGCAGACATTTTTGTTGCAAAATTGAGATCTTAAAATCACACTAAGAATAAATGACGAGCCTATTAGTATGTTGTGCAATTTAGCTTGGGATTTAAAAAAAAAAAAAAAAAAAAGGGTCTACAGGTCTTTTTAACTGAGAAAATGAATTATTGGATGTGACAGTCCTCATCACAACATTTGGAAATCCAGAACTGATAATACTGTTTGTTATTCCATAAAAGAACAGAGGCCTATTTTAACTTGCAAGCTTTTGTTTTGACTTCGTAACTATTTGTTTTTTGAGTTTTTACTCCTATTTGATGGATTTTACTGAAAGCAAGTGATGCCACTCTCTTAACCTTACTGGTCCACTCAAATTTTAAGGGGTTTGGTTAATAATAAACAAGCAGTTTCATGAATTAGCATTCATTTCTCACATCTAGTTAAAGGAATCATTTAGTTTAGATAAACAAGAAGACTCAAGAGAACCAAAAGCAACCTGTTTAGGCCTGTACTGTAAATGACTTTAGTCTCAGAAGAGGGAATGACAGGCACACAGAGAATGTATGACAGGCACACATACGTAAATTACGTTTCATGTTTAGCGAGGCTGCATAACCAACTGGGCAAAGCCAGTAACTGCTATTCAATATAAAGTCAAATAAAATGTCATGTTAATTACTGATCATTGTTTACTATATGAAGCTTGTAATTTCAGCTCTATCATTTCAACAGTACAACATCCAGGTGACAAATTAAAGGAAAAACCTGAATAAATAAGTCGAGAAACATAAATGTTATGTTGTCGCCTCCACACATGAAGGGTCGCTGAATGGTTTGATGTGTATGTAAATATTATGAATCATATGGCCTAACCAGTCACCACATCTCACCCTAACTGAACACCTATGGGAGACATGTTAGACCAGCTCAGTATCCCTTGGAACTGCATCCATATTGGACAATTCTGCACCTCATGGTTTATGTCCTGAGCCAACAGTCTGTGCCAACACGGAGAGGGGTGTGCCCTTTAGGTAGTGAGGCGGAAAGTAAGGGTGTAGAAGTCAGAGTGGTGAATGGGCATATGCCATGTCTGAGTTCATGTCCCATCACAGAGCTGGAATTCACATTTACCTTTTTTCCTGTAGCCATGGTCTTTCCATGGTTACGGGATTGCTTGTAAACACTGGCATTTATAAGCAATCACATTGGTTGGAAAAAAAATTGCATTGCCACTAAACATACAATCCAGTGATCCATGCTTGGAGAATATAATATTGACATTGTTGTCTGGCAGTAGGGTGAGATGCTGCTCTCCACCACCTTCATCCAAACACATGAAGAGGGAATGTTGTTTATCCAGAATAGAGTGTGACGAAATTTTATGTTGGTTTTTCCTTTATTTGTCATTTTTTTGTTTTTACAAATTGTGGTTTACTATCTAAGATGACTGTGTCAGTGAGATGCTGTTGCCTCATTGGACTGCATGGTCTACCAGTCGTAACATAAGAAGTTTAGTTGTGTCTATGAGTACAACTGTATACACTTTACGGTTGAAGTTCCTTTATATTTTGGTTGACTCCTGTATATAATAGATACAATAGTAAACCTATACTGCAAATATCTTGTTCCCTATGTTGATTACATATGTGACATTTTGCTTTTGTGTTTTTATAAATCAGAAGATAAACCTGTTAAGCAAACCAAAGGTTCTGAAAGAGAAAAATACTGTTGCACATCGTTATAAACATGAGATTGTCTTCCTGTATGTGTGAGGGTAAGTGAGAGGTTCCTACCTGCACCTGCAGCGACAGCTGGTGCCAGGCGTAGTCGTTGCTCTGATTCTGCCGGGTGAAATCATCACTGTAACTGTGTGAGTGGACAATGCTGGGCTGCACCAGACTGCTCTGTGACCGCAGGGCGGACAAGTCCTCGCTGCGGGAGAAAGCACTGTTGCCAAAGGCGGGTTGATAGTCATGGTGGCCATTCTCAGGCTCAGGGGCGAGGAGGAGAGGAGGGGGAGGCTGCTGAGACTGAGCTGGGGAGTTCTGGGCAGCCAGATGGAATAGTGGGTTCTGGAAAGACAGAGGGTAGTGCATGGCCGCTGCCGCTTGCTGTTGCTGTTGAGAGATGGATTCGGTGGGCCCCCCAATGTGGCCCATCTGGCTCAGCCTCAAACCAGAGCCTGCTGAGCCCGTCGGCATATGCCCTCCCATACGAAGAGGGCCGCCGAGGTTCCCGAAGCTGTGGCCGAGGCCGGCGATGGAGGCTTGAGAGGAGGTGAGCATGTCTCCCACAGAGTTCAGGTTGGATATGCTGTTCATACGGGAGTCCTGAAGGTCCATCATAGACACACTTTTATTCACACTGTGGACCTGAGACAGAAGAAGAACATTTATTGTAGTTTCATATTCACCATATTTACAAAAACATTGTTCATGACAAAGAAAATTTGATGAAACACTGAAAATTCTAGATCCTGCTTTACCTGAAAATATATTTATTTTACTCAGTTTTACATGTGCAGTAAGTGTGTGTTTACAGTTTTAAATTTGGTTTGAATGTACAGCATCATATACAGTCATATACAGTTATAAAATGTAGCAGACATCACTGGCCTGGCATCAGTCACAAGCTATTAAAAGAATTCACGATAAGGAAATTCAGAGTTTATGGACCCAAAAGGTCTGTTTCGTGTCTGGGGATAATTTAATTGCAGGAGGGCAGGAAGGAGATCCTTCTTTCAAAACACAGCCCAGCTTTTTAAACATCAGAGTGATAAATGGCCAGCTCCAGAGGATCAACTAAATTGTCACAAGGCAAAATGGGGGTACATGACCAAAATCTCCAAAGGAAGCTCATTCTATAACTATAAAACATCATCTCTGACTGATATTTAACTGTTGCTTCCCCGGGGAAAATAACATTAAAATCAAATGTACTCATCACCAGAGACTGAATTTTTTACACACACACACACACACACACACACACACACACACACACACACACACACACACACACACACACACACACACACACACACAAACTAATGTTTCCCCCTCCTTCTCTTTCCCTCTTTAGATAACACTCATAAATCACAAGCCACATTCCTGAAGCCCTGTAACATGAGATTTCTTCTTTTCAAACACATATCTGAAATAATATGTATTAATATGGTCAATATTATTCAGCAAATGCTTTTACATAATTTAGTTAAACCCCCAAATTTCTATCATATAATCTGTTAAATGAAGTACTCCAAGTAAATCAAAAACAGAGTGCAGCACAAGAGCTCAACTCAAGCCAATAATACTGTGACAGCAAAGTCATATCAGACTTTATGTATCATTCTAATCATCGCTCGCTAATGTAAATATGTTAGCTGGTTGTTTATGAAATAATTCTAAAATGTATGCATTTGCCCCGAGGTCTTCCCAACATTGTAGAGACGGCTTTAAAGGCTTCAGAATTATGATATGCCATAGGGAAAATAAACATGACTACTTCACACCTTACCTTTGGATCAGGCTCAGTAATATCCGAGCTGCTTGTGCAGTACGCGGGGCTGGATCGAGCCAGCGGCGGACGCGTGACATAGAAAACTTCCCTCGACGAGCGAAGGTCTCGTTCTGCCTGACGCCTCATGTTCAGATTCGATGACAGGGATTCTACAGCTGATACTCCCGTCGTAGGGGACGGCAGGCGAGAGATGTCTATTGAACTGCAGAAACACAATAGAAAGAGACATTAAAATTACCACTAGCTTACAGATCTTTTATACTGATTCCTATTTTGTATCTACCCATTTGATTTCAAATAATGTACATGGGCCCTGTGTATTGCAACAAAAGTGGAGGCACAGAATAGGTGGTCGCAAATGGTAAATTTTGCCTACTGTTCTATGTTTCTACAGTATTTTGGGGTATTTTATGTCTTAATCAGACAGAGGTCAGTAGAGAGAGGCAGGAAAAGATGGATGAGAAAGATGAGGAACGTTATGCAAATAAGGTCCCTGGCTGGAACTGAACAGTGGACATCATGGTCACATGTTCAGTGCTTTAAACTTCTAGGCCAGTGGTTCCCAACGGTTTTTGCTTGTGACCCCTTAATATGAGTGAATAGCCCTCGGCAATTCCTCATTACTGCTTGCATGGCTGCCTGCACGGTTTAATCATAGAGTGACATTTTAAAATAATTTCTAGATGTCTGAATGGGTAGAAAAATAAAGTTTTGTTGATTAAAATGTGTTTTTTTTTCTTAATTCTAATTGGGACAATTGATCTACCTACCCACTACATTCATCTCCAAATCCCTTGTAGGGCTCCGGACCCTCAGGTTGGGAACCATTGTGTATGTATTTTACCAAATTATATGATCAGAGATTGAAGTTAAAGAAACTTGTTGAAGCTTGTTAATTGTTTGACACTGTAGTAGCTTTTATGGATTAAAAAATGACCTTGAGCTCTATATTCTTTTATATTTAAAAAAAATAATCAACAGATTAATTGATAATGAAAATAACTGCTGATTGCAGCCCTAAATAAATTGAGCACACATGATCAGCAGTGTGCAGGATTGATCCTATGCATGTCTATAAGATCTAATTGTATTCAAGAAATACATGTCTTATTATATAAGGGTTGCATAATGAAACGTGGAAACCCAATGAGGAGAAGGCATCACTCCGTCTCATCAGTCACTCATAGCCTGATACCTCTGGGATTAGAGTTACGAGGAATGGCAGGTGTGTCATTCTTTGTCAGTTAGAATTTCCATATGTTTGATCTCTGTCCTTTCACACCTGCCTGCAGCACAGTTAAGTCATACTCGCTCAATTACGTATTTATTCCTGCAGATTTTGTTCCCAGCAGACAACTGCTTGGTAGGAGGGGCTTGTAATAGTAAACACGAAATAGCTGCTGTGGAATCCTTTGATATTACCTCTGTTATTACTCTTACTTAAAGAGTTCTTATTTAAACAAGCTGTATGCTGCTGTCATCTGTCTCTTGACAATAGCAGAGTGCTGAAAGTTAATTAAAACACAGAGGAAAGAGGTTTAGGTAAGAGAGTCTGGGAACAGATGGTGCTGGCAGTTATGGATTGATAGAATACTTAAAAAGCCTGAAGAGCTGCATTAGCATTAGCATTATGTGCTCTTAGACTCTCATTTGTTTTAGAGCAATTGAATTCTCACTTATTGTGTATTCTTGATCTTTTTATGCTTTACTGTTGATTACACCCATGTGAAACTGTGGTGAATATTTGCAATCATGACCATTACCCTTGTCTTGATAAAGCCACAGCAGGGATTAATCCTCTGTTCAAATGTAAAACTGTGTATCACCCATCTTGGTGCCCAGAAGAGCACACTCTTTGGGGACATGCAATTCCAATTTCATGTGTAAATTGAGGAGAACAGAGATATATAAAACAAAAGAAAGCATGAGGAGATACCTGTTTAAGTCACGCATCATAAGGCTTTGGAAGTCGGAGGACATTAGACGATTGAACGATGGTCGCGAGAAGAGTCTGTCCTTCGGTCGGTCTGGCTGGTGATTTGTAGGCATGTGAAGCTGTGGGTTCCTCAAGGCGACACTGATGTCATTCAGCAGCCGTGGTAGCGGTCCCAGTTTGAGAATAGCATCCTATATCAAAGAGCAACACGGAAACATTTTTAAAATAAAGGACTCCTGACTTTCCTACGCTCACATGCCATGTGCCCGGGGTACTCGACCTTTTGGGCCACCACAGACTGTTTTATTGGCCACTTTTATTTTGGGCCAGAATAGAGGTCAAATTCAAGGTCCAACTGATAATGAAATAAAACCAGAGTGAAAATAAACACTTGACATCAGACCTTTGGATCAGGTTCAGTAATAAGGAAAAATGCAGCACAGACAGACTTTAAGGTAAGTACAGTGCAAATACCTTGTGATAGCCTATAATTCTAAATCATTATTTTTTATATTATTATGATAATAAATAAGGATCCACCTCATTGGTATTAGCACATACTTGCCTTATCAAGCAGATGTCACTGATCTACACTGAATCCTTTATTGTTCATTAATGTCATTATAAGTTTCAGCTTCCAGTCATATACCATTGAATCAGTAAAATAGTAAAGAGCTGCTGATCCCATGTGCTTCACTATAAATACAATAAATTTTCCACATCACTTCATTATTCATGAAATTCAAATGTCATCCAGAAACATGCAACAGAGAGAAAAAATGATGAAAACACATAAAATTACACATTTGTTAACCTTTGAGACAATTCTGGGCTGACCATAAAAGATTTCTAACTTTCATTATGTTACAACTGCAGTGAAAATTCATTAAGTTAACAGTGCAAGCAGTAGAGTGAAATATTAAAGTACTAATTCCACCTCTGTTTTCACAGTTCAAATAATATTAATTGTGTTAGACAGAAAATTATAGAACCTCATTTTCCAGCCCTCCATTCTCAGCACTCTTCAGAGTGAGAAAGAAATTATATTAAATGTTTAATTTAAATTTGCTAGTAATTTATCACGTTATTCCACCTACCTTGCTAAGCTGGCCCATGACTTCCCACAGTAAGCTATGGAGCATGGACAGTTCTCTGCCGAGGTCAATGTAGCCCTCAAACCCTCCAGCGTTTCCTCCGGTGTCCATGTTGGAAATCTCATAAAGAAATTGCTGCATGGAGCCCCACTCCATCTCCAGGAACTCATTCATGAAATACATGTATTCCTCCTTGGGTCCAAATCTGTGTGACAGGACACATGAAGAGAAAGAAGAGAGTGGAAACAGGAGGTTAGTGGACGGATCTCATGTTATTACAGTTAACATGTGCTGGAGTTCTGATTAGAATCCTTAAAGCTGCATTAATCAATATCACAACAAACCCACAGTAATGAACTAACTCAGTTCCTCTCAGCTCTACAGAGTGGTTTAGCATCTTTCCGGACCTTAACTTTCATGCTCTGGTTCACTCTCCCTGGTTCACCTTAAAAGTCGCCTTCAGTTAATAGGCATCCGACAACATACACTATAATACCTCAGGAAACAAAAAGTATTAGATTATTTTATGTTCCTGAAATAAAGAGTCTATTAAATAACCAAACTTTTGATATCTTAATCACAGCTGCCTATTTAAGTCAGCAAGAATTGTTTTAATATTGAAAAAGAATGTCAGCAAAGAGAACAGAGTGAAGGTAGGAACAAATGTGTCACAGCTGAAAGGCTCACAGTCTTCAATTCTAAAAATGAACTGTGTCAAATGAATGTGACATTGGAGAAGGGGTAAGAGGACAGGTGATGACAAGAGACTCACTTGCTGAAGCTGGCCAGGTTCTGCATGACCTTGGCTATGAGTGTGAGTGTGCGGGACGTGCGTTCAGCAGGGTACTCCTGCATTAGGTTGAACAGGGAGGGGGACATGATGGCTGGGCACATGAAGCGAAGGAACAGGGAGGAGCTGATGAGGCTGTCAGCGAGATCCTCTCTTCCACGCTCAGCACATCTGGCTCTCCATGAGGCAAAAACTTCCTTCAGCTCCCGAGGAAATATGCTGAAACAAGAACATGATTTTATTACCCACTGTCAAGGCGAAGAGCAAGATATAATACAGCAGCTCATCCAAAGGAATTCAGCAAGGTCAAGAGACTAAGATGTATGGAAAAGTCCTGGATGTACGATGCTCAGGATGCAAAAGAAGAAGAAGAAGAACGTTTTTAGAAAAATTAACATGATGTTGATGATTTAACTGATTATATCACTTGAAAAAAAGCACGTAAATAGTAAATGATAATGTTGTAATTTACTTATTTCTGTTTAAATATCAGTTTGGAAAAAGGAAACTTTTATATTGGTGTTAATATGGGGACAAATGAAAAAGTAACATTTGAAACTGAAAGGTAAAGTATTTATAAATGTTGAAACAAACATGAGGTATGAACATTTTTTCAATTCAAATGTAATTTTTGATTAACTTTTGGAATTGAACTGTCCTTCTGTTGGCGTGGAGGGGTGGCATCAACAGGGAAGGGGGTGTGTGAGTGACTGCACACAACTCACCAGAGAGAGTTGATAATCTTGCAGAGTAACAGCTCGCAGCACATACGAAGGTTGGCTTGGTGGTCAGCGAGGACTGATGGCGGGACGCGCATGGGGTCCACCTCACAGTTCTCCTCAGACTCATATAAGGCTCGAATGAAGTCACCTGAAAGTTGTAGATCAAACTCGTCATTATGTTTCCAAAAATGCATCATTATACATAAAGTTCAGCTCTAAATTTATTTTACAGCTGGATCAGGGCACAGGAACAAATTGTGAACCTCTTATTTAGAAAGAGCGAAAAGAATCAAGTAAGAAAATGATGTGACTAAAGCAGCAATCGGATGGGATTTATTTCTCCGGGGGGGAAGTGGAGTGCTTTAAATATTACAGACAGACCCAGTTAGGGCTGTCAAATGTCATGTTACAGGTGATTCTATTTTTGTTGGTCAAACTTTGTAGGGCTGAACTAAATTTAAGTGTGGAACAAGATATGTGCAGCGCTAGAAAACTTGAAACACTTTGCATATATCAGTCCCTGTAAAAGCATAGCATGATTGATATTCAGAAGGAGACATGTAAGTATAGTTTACAACTGTCTGTGTTAATAATTACAGAGAAATAATTACCAGTAAGTATTACTAAAGCTAAAAATAATACTAAGTCCACCGGTGATCAAGGTCACTTGTTCACCCCTAATATAATTTCTATTATAGAACAAGCTTCTGTAATTTGCTGGTGGCTAAAATGCCATCCAGAGCAAACAACAGTCATTACAAGGGACAAGGGGAAACATGTTATTACCCACCTTCCCCTGTGATGTAATATCCTAGCTTTGAAATAAAATGCTAGAATGAGATAAAAATGTAAGTGGACAGTGTTAAAGAATGGCTGATTAGATGGTATAAAATCAATCTAAAAACTAAAATATAATTATAAAGCATATTTATACTTAATGGCCAAAAGAACATTTTATCTTACATTTAAAAGATCTAAAATCTACTAATACAGCTCTACATTTAAATAAAAGAATAGACAATTAAATTTCTATTTATTGTTGCAAAATTTTATCAAAGCATAATTCATATTTGTTGATGTAACATTTACACTTTTCTTCTTTAACTCAAGTATTTCTAAAATGTCGCCTCCATGATAAAACAGTGGAATTTGGAAAAATGTCACAAATATATCACAAATGTAGATGTGGAACTATCTCGATACTAAACAATGCCATAGAGTGTGACACGGTTCATCAAAATATTAGATTTACTTTGAGCTTCAGTCAGTCAGCAGTGATGTGCAGTTTTACCTATAGCATCCTTGAGGTATCTGTGACCTATCAGTTTGAGGTACTCTTCCACAGCCTTAGTAGCGAGCGTATTCTCCCGAAAGATCAAGTGCTCACGGTCCATGAATCGATCCACCTCACACATCGCCATGTCGGAGAGGAACTCCTGCGAACAGATTTTATTTGAAGTTCAATGGAGCATACAGGGAAAGGAGGGAAGGTGTTTTTCAAAGGACAGACCATTTTCCTATAAAGCTACTTCAAAGAAATAAAACAACTGGTCATATAGAGAACTCAGACTCGAACGTTGATTGGTGGAAAAATATATCTAGTCAAGCTAACTTGTGACCTCTAATTTACCTTTGTTTTCCCTGTGCTTTGAAGAATGTGCACCAGAGCAAACGCCACCTCCTCTTTGCTTTTCACACTCAACAGCGGCTCCAGAACTGCACACAGTGTTCGGTAGTTGTTGGTAATGTATTCAGCAAATTCCTTGTACAGCTCCATGGGGAGGATGTTCATTGTCTGGTAGCGAGACTTAACACGCAGTGAGGCGTTGATGACTTTGGCACTTCCAACACCACCACTTTTGGCCAAAACACTGGATTGTATCACCGGGTACCACTGCTCCACAAACTGCCGGCCCGTGATGCTGGAGATGGGGATGCTGACAAGGCCAAGGTATGTGCTTTTTTCCTAGATTACCAAACAAAACAATATATTGATTTATTCGTTTTATTCAATCAATATTTTTAAATGCTTGTTTTACTGGCACACTCTCTTTACCTTGCGTCTTTTTTTGTCCGTTTCCTTGTAGAGGTGCAAGCGAAGGCTACGAATGGTAGGCAAATTGTTAAATTCAAAATGCTCGCCCCAGAAGACGGTGTCGGTCCGGGGTTTGCTGGTGGTGCGTGCGTACAGCATGTCATCCAGACACAGCTCACAATAGTAGCGTTTCTTAGCTGGAAGGTCTCGAGCTTCAATGATCCACAACTTGAGCACATTGTCCACCCGTCTGCTGTTGTCCTTAAAGTGAAACGACGAATTCTGTTACTGGATTATAACAGTCCTTATTTACATCTGTCCTTAATGTTACACCCTGGATCTTGTAATAAAATAAAAGGTGGCCAGTTGTGGGAGGTTTGGGTAAACATGTTCTGTAATTACTGGAGTTTAAAACAGAAGACAAAAAATCTATTGTATCTACCTTGTTAGGTTTGACAGCTCGTTGCAGATTCTCAATCCACTTGTCTCTCTCTGAAGCTGAGCGACAGGCAAAACATTTTGTCCCTGAACTGGTGGTTACCTTCAATCAAAACATACATATGAGTAGATTTATAATCATGGAATATACCTTATATGGCTGCAACTAATTGTTTTTCAAATTAATAAATTCATCTGTAGTTTATAAATTGACAAATGACAAACACAATTCATTTCCAGTAGCAAAAGCTTACATCTTAAAACCCTTGGTTTTTCAATTCAGTTATATAAAACACAGAAAAACAGCAAATTTGAGAAACTAGAACAAGTGAATGTTTTTGCATTTTAGTTTCATGAAAACACTTGAATTGATTAATCAACTTAATTGTTTCAGCACAAATTCCCTAAACCACTAGGTCACCTCATTTCCCTGATTTTCCAGAGAGGCGTGAAGTGGCTTTGTAGTGAAACCCGAATAGCTAACTTAACATATTTAAAACACTCTCACAAATAAAATTATATTGGTCAGTTAGTTTAAATATAGTGAGATAAAAATAAATAAATCTGTAGTAGGTGGGAGTAACTACAGAGAATGGGAGAAAGGTTACACAACTCAACACACCTCAAAGCAGTACTCTTGTCCTAAAATGCTAGAGTGGACAGGTTTGATTATGGCCTCTTCATCCAAAACTAGGTCCAAAGCCTCCGCAGCACTGCTAGGAGAAAGTAGGGACTCATGGGAGTGGGATTCTTTGAAGCTTTGCATCAAGCGAGTCCTGGTAAGAGAAGATGAACAAGAGATCAATTTACAACCCAAATTTATATCAGTGTTTTCATATAATTCAAAATAAGTCACCACAGCCGAGAAATCCGTGTGAGTCACTCCTGCGATTTGGGTATGATTTGTGAGATCTGATCCTTTTATAATGAGTTTATAGTAAAGTTAAGACCACCAGATTTTCAGTTCAGGTGTTTGTAATTTGGTCTGTTGACTTGCCTCATGTGACTCATACTGTATTTCAGAAAATGGCCCACAGTGTCTCAGATTGTGGTGATGTCTGGAAATGCAATTCTTTAACAACTATACAAGAATTTAAAAATGCTAATGTAAAAGTAATGCTTGTGTTGCCTTCTGTGTAAATGGGGCAAAATTGTAAAAGAGAAACAATTTAGCAGTCACAGTCTGCAGGAATATTGGAGTGCAGGTATAAAAAAGCACAGAGGATTAGACCTAATCATGGGGTAACCTTTAGAACAGGGCAGCTCTATCAAGGAAAGAGTTGGTGGAAGTAGAAGCAGGAAGGTGAGTCAATGCTGTCTCTCAGGCGCTGCAAGGTCAGTAGGCCAATTGAAAAAAATGTAGCAAGGAAATCATTTTTTCTGAAGAGTTATGGGATAAAGGAAGTGGACCAAATTAAATCCATTATAGGTACAACTTCAGTATGTGTGTGTTACCATCTCAGCCAGTAACTGGGTGCCTGCCCTTTAGGTCCAGCTGTAGCTTTTCAGGCTAAGGTGGAGCAAATAGACAGTGAATGTGAGCTAGTAAATTGATTTGCTGGCTGACAGAGCTCTAAGATACAGAGGGAGAGTTCCAGTTCTGCAGGCAAAAATACAGAGTTCAAGCTGGTCATTTTTGATTTGATATTTTAGATTTAAAGGGATAGTCCAACATTTTGGGAAATAAGCTTTGCTTTTTCTCGGCTAGAGTTGAGAATATTGAAATGTATCTCACGTCTGTACTCTAAATGTGAAGCTAGAGCCAGCAGCTGGTTAGCTTATCTTGGCATAAATTCTAGAGGTAGGGGGAAGAGCTAGCCTGGATCTGTCCAAAGGAAATCTACACACCAGCCCACCTAAAGCTCATTAATTAACATATTATATCTCATTTGTTTAATTCACACCAAAGTATGAAAACAATTCACCATTTTACAGGGGGTTGTGCTGAATTATTTCTTCAGCAGGAACAGTAACTTCCTGCAGCCCCCATGTTAACAGTCTTTATGCTAAGCTAAGCTAACCTGTGCCTGGCAACGGTTTCATATTTATTAAACAAATAAGAGAGTGGTATCAATCTTCTCATCTAACTCTCAGTAAGAAAATGAACTAGGGTAATTCCTTTAATATCTTCTGAAACTGGTTTTGAAAAATGAGTTTATCTGCACTGATCGTGAACATTAGCTTTGAGCATAAGAGAGAAAAAAGGGGAAAGGAGAATAGTGGAGAAACTGGTAAAAAGCAAACTGGTAAAACACCTGATAGCTACAAATGTTAAGCACTAATTTAAGGCCATATTCAAGGAAAATCATCTACTTTAAGAAGCTGACAGTGCAGTACATGAGAAATGCTTTGGTAAACCGACTTGGCAGCAGAGGTGGAGCAGCTGCGTTGGAAAGCTAGAGTGTGAAGTTGGACGCAGAGGGTTTATAGCAAAGTCAACTTAACAGTACTGAGAGTGAATTAAGCGTGTGTGGGCAGAACTCAAAGCAGGCTGTGAAGGCAGCTGTCTGAAGCAGCGGTGGGAGCGGGTGAATGGCTGTGGTTACAGGGGAAAGCGCACTGATTGAGGTAGAAAGTCACTTTAACCCCTACAACATTAAGCATGCCCCTACGTCTTTCAGTGCTGCCTCCACAGAAACCCTTGGGTTAACATATAATTTGTTTTATCGTCTGCATTTTAGAACACAGAATTTTTACATCCTTTGCTAAACGACATATTCCACATCTCTCTGCATCGGACATCCTCACCTGCCCTAAAACCGTCTATTATGCATCTCCTGTGGCGGGAGGAAAGTGTACTGTCAGTGTAACATTTTTACTTTCTGCCTCTCCTTCTCTAGATTGTTACATTTCCCATATGTGCGTCGTGACTGGATTGTGTGAGGACTGCATAAAATTTTGATCACAATGCAAGTGAGATTCCTCAGGGATGTGACCTCACGTCAGAATACAAAACAAGAAAAAGCTGTCACGAGAGCCTCTAGAGCTGAGAGCTAGTGCATCCTGACATGATCGGATGATAGAAATCACACTGACAAGATGAACGTGAGCATAATGTAAATCTAGCAGATCCTCCAGAATGTCCAACAGACTTGTGAAGTTAATATCTTTTACCAAAATTAGGCTTTTTGTTAGTTGTCCTGTTGCATGTTGATGATAAGACCACACATTTATACAACTACATATCTATTAAAAAAAAACAAAAAAAAACTTTTCTTTCCCTGCATTTCCTGTCTGTCTCTTCTGCCTCAATCAGATTAACACATAAAATGCCCACATAAATTAATTAATAATAATAATAATTCAAGTACAATACAATGCAAGACTATGTGGTGAAAACTGTGGCCACAAGCAACAGTACAGGCACATTGGTTTTTATATATCTTTTTATCTATCTAAGCTAACATTAGCCATTGGTCATACCAGACCAAGCAAGGCTTTAACAGAAAATCCCCCCAGCTTATTGAAATGAGCAAAGGTATGTTAAATGTCTCATGAATTCAACTTTTATGTCTAACAGGAATAATGTGATAATATTGCTTTCAGAAATGATGTAGTCTCCCTTTAAATAGTTGTTGAGATATTTCAGTAGGCTGCCGTGACATTGTCTTCAATAGAGCCACATGAGAGGCTAAAACACCATGATACAAACAGGGCAATTTACACTTAAAATAAGAATCTAACAGTTGTCATAAATATTATCAGTATCCTCAGTAACAATTGCAACATTCTGCTTTAACACCGAACACTATAATCATCCTAACTATGCTATACACTGTCATTACAATATGTAATCAGCTGGTCCTATAATAAGAGGTAAACTTGAAGCTAAGTATTGAGGTTAGCAATGTTCTAACAGCAGCAAAAAAAAAGGGAAGGTAGCCCTCAGCAGCAAAGGTGAGAGGTTTCCGTGCAGAGGAATTCTAGCGTTGGGTAGTCACGGCTAACCCACTAAAATAACTCCGTACACAAAGCAGCACGTCAGCCATCCAAGCAAGAACAGATTTCATTGTTTATGGATGAGTAGTGTCAGAAGCTCAAAGCTGCTCACAATGTGAGTGCATAAATAGGCTTATTTAAGTTACATTTACTGTATGTTTCAACTTTGTGATGACTGTGGGGCAGAACTGTGAGGCTCTGCACTGTCAATTAAACTATCAATTAAAGGAATAATCTAAAAGAAAGTTCATGGTCTATCTCTTTCTGCATGGAGTTGCATATTCTCCCTGGGTTTGTATGAGTTTGTTTATGGTTGTTGTTGTTTGTCTTATTGATCTTAGTGATCTTGACACAACACAAACTGTAACATAACAGGTATTGAGATTGTGATGATACATGTTTACAGCATCAGAAATTTGGCTGATTTTACTTTATTAAGTATGACAAGACAGTTTCAGTAGCTTAGATTTGATGAATAATTATTTTTGTAACTATAGGAAAACAAAGCCAATATAAATCACAAGGGAAAATGTGGTGGATTGAAACCATGGCCTCTGCGGTCTTTTCATTACATGTGTCCTGCATGAACTGTGAACACTAACTCACTCCTATGTAGGAATATGTTTGTTAGACCTGTGATAAACTGGCAACCTGTCCACAGTGTTTGGCTTGGCTTTTGCCCAAAACATTGTGGGACAGGCTCCAACCCCCCATGAGACTCAGAATATGCAAGTAGAGGCTGGATGACCGGTACTACCTGAAATTATAGGAGGGCTTTATACAATAAAAGTTAATTACCTCTCTTGGTCGGCACTACGAAACCGGGGCAAAATCATTTGTCTGAAGCTGCTGGTACGGTCCAGTTTGGGCTGACTTTTGGCCCTCTTGATGGAACCCTTCAACCTTCGATTGAGAAAACTCTGAAGATTCATCAAGGGAAAATAGAAAAAAAGACAGTTCAGAAGAGTAGAGTACTGCATAAATCAATAAAAATATCCATCATTTACTAGCACGCTTAGACCCAAAACTGTATGTATGAGAATTTTACAGATTTGATTCTTATCTATGAAAGTGTAAACTCTCATTCAAGCATCAAATTGGCTTTGCTTCCCAAGGGAAAATTAGTAATTTACAATATCAGACTGGACCTAAAAAAGCCAATCTGTATTTATTTTCTATGTGAGATGGCACTGTAAGATATAACAGGCTTTGCTGTACTCACCGGCTGTCTGAAGGGCTGTGGGGTGGTATTGGGAGGGGTTTCCATGCTTGACTGTCTTGCAGAGGCAAAACTTGCCCTGCGAGATTGGTCTATGAGGAAGGAGTGCAAAAAAGATGAAAAAAAAAAAAACAAGAAAAAAGGTGATCAATAAATATGAAATACATAGGGTTATTCTAGATAATATAAATTATATATATAATATAAACTGATTTGTATTTGAATTTTTATCTGCATCCAGTTCCAAAAACAGTAACAAATGAGTAATTATGATCATAAATGCTAGAACACATTAGTCCAGTATTGTATGATTGCTTCATAAAGAGTATAACAGTTAAACAGATCATGTAATTATAATGTTGAATCAGAATGTAACATGGACTTTCATTTACTTCTTATTGTATGTCATGGGATAATTCCTGATGTCCTTGTTACATTAAAAAAATAAAAGTACGATATGTTGCACCCTTTATGAGGTCATAACCAACATTTTTGTATATTTAGACAAATTATAACATTGTCTTATTCATAGCTTCATTACCCTGGAACTGCTTTGGTAACATATATAAGGGAAACAGCATCAGAAATCATGACAGAACACACAATAATCACAAGCAAGCTACTAGCACATCAACAATGCAGAATAGTAGGTGTAAGTGAAGCTCACCAACAAGGACAGACAGCTACAGCTTCCAAAGAACTACAAAGAACAACATTATGACAATCTGAAAGACACTTGTAAAGCAGCTATTTTTCTCCCTTCCACTGGAATACCTTTTGTATCTGAGGCCAATAGAAAATGGGGTGAATCCTGATGTGAGAACTATATTGGACATCTATATAATCCGAGGAGGAAACACACTCTTATGAGTCATCTTGAACCTCGCAGTCTTTGTCTGACTTTAGGCCTCTGCAAACTCTGGAGCATGGAGATGGATCTATAAAAGCATGAGCTTCTATCTTTAGGGAATCCGATCTGATGCGTCCTCTATATGACTGTGTGCTGACTGAAGAAAGATAGGGCCAATGCCCAGGAGTAGGAGAATCGTGAATACTCCATATATTACTCTTTATCTTGCCATACAAACAACAACAGGAATGCAAGAGGGGTTTCATAAACAGCAGAATGAACGTGGGTTTTGGAGCACAGTGTAAATTTCCTCCCTCTTTCATTCCTAATCGTCCTATTTCATACTCTGGTTTCAGACCGGTGAATCACTACCCACATGTCTGATTTGTTTGATTCCAACCTGTCTGGCTTTACCCCATTGAAGCGATTTACCCGTTACAGGAAAAGCTGACCAATCAGGGCTTACTAGGTGGGACAAAGAATGGGGATGCCATCTTCCCACATAGCTTACATAGCTATGTAGTACATTCATTAAAAATGGTGACAGAAAAATGGTGGCAAGCTTTGATGAGATTGACACTGCTGTACAAGTTGTTGTAAGCTGAGTTAGAGAAATAACAACTTAAAATGACATATGCCTTTGATCAGTGTGAAAAACACATTAACTGCTCTATGCAACCACCACCGCAGTTTCCGTGTCAACTTAAAATTACATTAATGGGACAGATACATCAATTAAAGATAAGGACAAAACATTTCAAAATATCCTCCCTTCGCTTTAAGAAATCAGATAAAAGGAACACGATGTCAGTCAAAAAAAAGTGAAGCTACACACAGATCAGCGTTTGTGATGACAGCAATACAAGGGAGAATGAAGGTAAAGTGTGGTCCTTACTTGAGGCCGAAGATGATTTTTCAGCCCTGGTTGTACAAGAGAGCCACGTTCTAATTTTTATTCACAATGGCTATTGTTAAGATTTTATTAGCTTTTTTTCTTTTTTTTTTAGCTTGTTGCATAATCAAACCCACCATCATACATTTGATACTTTGAAGCATTGTTGAGAATGTCACTGATTCATCCATAGGCTGGTCTCTTAATGCTAAAAATGTGATCAGGTTTCATGTTGATATTCACTCTGGTCTTCTATTTTTGTCCCCGATTGATCTGTTGGGGTAATTTTTCTTTCTTTTTTTTCAGAAATTACCCATTACCCAAAGGAGCTGTTTTTTTTTTTTCCCTTTTGCTACAGAAAATCAAAACACTCTGTCATCCTATGATTTCCCTGCTCCCAAAGCCTGTAAATAGGCTACTCTCCAGGTTCTATTCTGAATCCCAGCTAATTGTTTGGTATCCATGGAAACAACTCCGAGGGCTTCTACTTGAACTGTGGAAGATATTGGCACACAACTGCACAATAAAGATGATGAAAAAGTAACATGCCGCACAACACAGTGTTTCTGTGAACACACGAGTGAACTGATCAGACCTATCAGCTGCCCACGAGGGGAAATCTTCCTCAGCTGGAGGAAACGTTTCAGCTTCCTTTGTGTCTCATGTGGGGCTGAATTCTGACGAACATTGGTTTGATTGAATGACCCTGCGGAGGAACATTTAGCATATTTCCGAGTCTAACACCGCTGCTACAAAACCAGTCACCTGCAACATGTGGTGCTCTAAGTAAACGTGACATATTAGAACACATGGATGTGTTCACATGGGCTATTCTGAATGTAAATTGCTGTCAGGACAGAGTGTGTGGGTGGCAACAGCCTCTAGCTAACTGAGATACAGAGGGAGAGAAAGACAGAAAGAGGAAGACTGTGAGTAGGTGTTGGAGAAATATACTCAACCTTTACCGTATATCTCTTTACTGATACATATTTGGAAACTTTGTTAATAAACAGAACAGAATCATAACCGTTTTCACAGGAAGGATTTTTTTGGGTATAGACAAAAAATAGATGCAGTATAAGGATACAATGTGCCATCTCTCAAGTAAGTGATCATGACATACGCAGCTCTAACAAATTTTCATTAAACACGTTTCATTAAATAGCGAAATTAAGTAATTGCTATTAGTTTTGAAGGTATTTGGTCATAAAACAAAAACATTGGTCAGGGGATCATCAAAGTCAGGAGGTCTCTGGTCACCATGCATATTGCATCAAATTTCATGGCAATCTATCTAATACCTGTTTATGGATCAAAGTGGTGGACTGACCAACGACTTTAAATTTGGGAATGGGAGAGCATTGCTACTGGTCAGTAGTATGTATCAACAAATACCATGAGCTAAAGTATCAGGATCAGTATCAGAAGAGAAAAGTTGGATTGGTGCATCGCTAACTACAATACAATCCTAAATACTGCCTGTTTGTTGGCTTGCAGATGCACTTTTTTCTTTTTCTTTTTTTTTTTAAAGAAAAGGCTCAAGATTCTATGTGAACAAGTTTTCACACTTATTAAAAAGCAGTTAACAGCCCCACACAGTTATTTAAGTTATTTTACAGTTTGACTGTGTCATCTCAAGTGATGCCTGTGTCATCTGGAGGACACAGCTATGACTAAAGAAATAATAGCATGGCCAAAATTCCCCCAGAGAATACAGCTGGGATGATATATGGTTTCAGGGTGGTAAGTTTGTCTATATAGTACGGTGAATGTTCCAAAAGGTTTGAATCAACAAACCTCTACAGCTGAATGTGATCATAATGCAGAGACTCTATAACTTGTTTTATGCAATGTAATATTTAAACAAATAAAATCAAGTCACTACATAAAATCATCCCAAAGTAAACACTAGGATGAGGAATCTGATTATCAGTTGCACGTTCACTCATGAGAATCTGCACTCTTTATGCTACTTGATGTCGCAATGTGTTCTTTCGCAACTCTAATATTAATACGGTTTGATGCCACATGTTTGAGGCCTCTCCAGTGTAATGAGAGCTACAAATGACACAATTTACATCTCATGATTCATCGCACTGAGGTCGGGAGCTGACCCCTTTGAGAAAAGTGAATGTGTTTGATTTTATTGTAACTGCCCAGTTTGTCTTGGAGTGACAGTGTTTCCAGAAACAGATCACACACACGTGATCCTGTTATGTCTGGTCTGGAGAATCTGACCACAAGGAGCCTCCGGTGACTCACAGACAGGCCCACTGGTGCAGATGTCACATTCATGTCATATAGAAGTCTATGTAATTGCAAACAACCAACTTACAATCAACTGGAAATTATGGCTGGGAATTTGCCATTTTTCCAACAACTCCAGTATGCCCATATTATAAATCAATATGGCATCAATTTAACACGGTTTCTTTAACCAGGACATTGATGTTCAGCCAAAGGCTTAACTTTCATTTACTTTAGACTTTTTAACTCTGTAACTGATCTGCTTTCTGACAGTCATAGTTTCTAGTGTATGTATCTATTCAAAAGCATCAGACTTAAAACAGAAAGCATTTGATGACACAGTTAGCTAATTTAAAACTAGAATTACCACCTCACAGTTGTCTGCCTCCGCCAAGCAGCCAAGGTGCAGGAAATATTGTCACAATCTCCCCTTCCTGAGTTACAGCATTGAATAATGGCCAGAAGTGTTTTGCAGAACATTATGATGTCACGGTTAAGTTGACCTTTGACTATCTGGATATAAAATGTCACCACTTTTATCACATCACATTTATCCTATTGACCTTTGACCACCAAAATCTAATCAGTTCATCCTTGAGTCCAAGTGAATGTTTGTGCCAAATTTGGCATTGGCGTTACTGAGATATCGCGTTCACAAGAACAGGGTGGACAGATGGACGGACAAATGTGAAGCTATTCCCTTGAAGAGTTCCCGAGATACTATTTTCACAGGCAAAAACCATATTTTGTAAGGTCACCGTGACCTTGACCTTTGACCACTAGACTCTAATCAGTACATCTTTGAGTCCTAATGAATGTTTGTGCCAAATTTGAAGAAGTTCTCTCAAGGCATGACTGGGATGCCGCATTCACGGATGGGTGGGCAATCCAAAAACATAAAAATATAACATTTACTTTTCATGCCTCCACGCCAGCGACAGCCAGGCCCAGAGGCGTGAAAAGTCAATGTTATGTTTTGACAGACTGAACGGTAATGACAGTAGCCTAGTAATGTGAGCACCCAGCTCACGTCATGATGTTGGCTTAACCAAGAGGACGTTAGTCTTTGTGTATATTGCGTGTGGAGTGCAGATGCCAGCTGTCCCATTTTCAAACAATAACGGTAACATTTCAGGACATGAACATTTTGCCGACATGTTATTAATATAAAGTTAGTAGCCTTACATGGCATCCCTAGACCATAACGACTCATATGATGGCTGGGGAGGTCAACGAAACACATTTGACCATCACCAACTCTCAAGGTTTTAACAACCTCACAAGAGGTTAAATGCCTGGGACTCCCCGCCAGTCAGAGCTGAAGAAGTCTTTCGGATTTACTCACTGGGCAGACTGCGCCCGTCTTCTTGTCATTTGGCAGACACTTTTATCGAAAGCAAGGTGAGAGGTGAAAGGTCTTCAAGAAAACCTCAAGGAAGTCCTTCATATAGCACTTCGAAATACAATGACCTGGATGACTGAGAATCTTTACAGACTCAAGAAATGCTTGTTTAAGAAAATAAATGCAGATTGATAAATTACAGTGGGTCAAAGGTGGCTTATTTGCTTATAATTAATTCATTAGCGTCACAGCTGTTGAAAAACTACAGAGTGTGTACAGAAAGTTAAGGCCATTCATTAACAGTGAGCTGTCCAAACAATCAGCCTGCATGACTGACAGGAGCAAAACCTTGCTACATCAACCTTGTGGCTCTTTGACAAGCCAGCAGCATCACCCCAGGAGGTTTGACACGGTTCAAGTGTTAGCAGGGATTTACAAAACACAGAATTACATTGGAGAAGCCTAGGACACAGAGACATACACTGTTGGCATTTAAAGAATCACCTGCTTGATGGAATAAACTCTTGTCTTGCTATGCCTGGTGATTTCAAATGAAAGGTGAATAAACATGAGGGCTATTGTTTATACAGTTAAACTGCCTTCTGACAACAAACTTGGAGGAATTCATATATTCAAAGCACCTCAATTACGCACCCTACATAATACAGTACATAGCCTACATACACTCAAAGGTTTAAGGCATTAAAAACTTAATAGTGCTTTAATTGCAATATGTTTAAATGGAGAAAAAAACAAATGGAGATAAAATAAGGACCAGTGACACTTCTGACTATGTTCAGAGCCACTCTGGTGCTATGTTTAGATACAGCACTGTAATCAAGTAAATATAAAATGCACAGAAGAGGTAGAGCAGCAGGATTTGAAAGCAGAGGTGGGTGGAAGGGTTGAGGAATCAGGGGCAGTGTGGGCGCGAGGGAGCCACGGGAAAGAACCTGCGATCGGCTTGAAAACTGACAGATATTTTTGGAGGAACAGAAAGAAAGTGACTTCTAACATCCTGCAATGTAACCACGATTTCTTAGGGCCAAGAGACTGGATTTTTTAAAATGTAAATGCTCTCTGAGCGGAGGAAGGCATAAGAACAGTAACCTAAAAAAACAATCTGAAGTTACTCTCCATCACGCGTGTTTTCCAGCATTCCCATCTCTCTCCTGCCTGTCCCTCTGCCTGTGTGTGAGCCAGCCAAGGGGAATGTGGCCTAGTTACCATAGGAACATGTTTGTAGCTTGTGCGCTGCTCTCCATCAACACTACCTTCATTTTCACTAATGTATTTAGAAACATTATTGTGGTGCTTGTAAATGAGCAGACCCAAATTAAAGAGCTGAAAACAGTGAAAATGAAATTCTACCAATTAAGCAGCGGTTTGAAGCTCTTAACACTGACTGTACTGAGGTACTTCTGTATTATATCACCACATTACAGTTCACGTTGAGGTGATTTTCTACCAGGACTTCCCCAACAGTATAATCTGCCTCTTGTTTGTTTCTACTCAAACCAAAACCGGCGGACTTAATGTTTGAAATGAAAAAACAGCTTTACATGCTGCACTAACTAACAAAAAGACAAATAAGTCTTCCTGTCCCTTGGTGGGAGCAGAAATGGCTGCTTTCATCTGGGGAAGTAAAGAGTTTAGAGAGGAGGAAGACTCAGAGTATGTCAAAGCTGGAGTAAAAGGTAAATGGTGCTATCAAACCTAGAGGATGTCAAAATAAAACTGTGTGACAAAGCAGGGCTCAGAGAGTGAGTGATGCTCCAGTGTAGGATTGAGTGGTAAAAAATCCTCAATATATTGAGGTACTTTTGTAAAGCTTCATAGTGCTAAAAAGGACCGGAAAGCCACAGCAGAGGAAAAAGAGCCAGAGCGGCACAGCTGAGGCTTAAGTGTATGTCAAACCTTTCATTAACCATTGGCAGCAGCGTTGGCTATGTGTGTCAGAGAAACCAGTGGATTGCAAGGGAACATATAAAAACATATATAACAGAGAAAAATCTTATTGGACCACAACAGACTAGAGAAGAGGCTGAGAAACTGCAGTAGGGACAGCTGACAGTGGAGAGAAGTTGACCAGTTTGGGGCTAAACTGACTCACTTGGGGTTAAAACTCCAGATCCGCCACAGCAAACCTCCGCTTGACCAACCAACCCAAACTGACTCTGATGCGGCAGCCACGTCTTTGAAGATGTGTCCATGCAGCTATATGGCACAGACACAAGTTTGTTTTTCTTTTTAGCTTTTGACATTGTTGGTCCAACAGTCACTATACAGCAATGACAAAAAAAAGAATACAAGAAAAATATAAACATGTTATCGTATTTGAAAAATCATTTTAGCTCATGTTGCACAAATAACACAAGGAGAATTGTAACTTGCAGCTTCAATTTTGGTTTGGCGTTGGTAATACAGTCACACCTTAATTTCACACACCACAGAAAAGAAAACTGAAAAGCTGCAGGACACAGTAAATTATAAATTTGTATTACAAGTCACACTCAACTGATCATAGCTGCCCTTTATAGACTTATAGGCAAAATGTCATTATGCTGCTTAACCACAAGCTGTTACTATGATTAATTGATAAGCATTCCTACAGACACATCAGTATTTAATTCCCATGTTTTCTATTCCTTGTTCCCTAACTGGAATTTCAGAAAGAAAGGTTGGATGCATATGCATATTTTAAGTCTCATCCAAACAAACAGGGACATTTGGAAAACATTCAAGATATTTAATTATTCTCCGATGCCGGCTTCTGTAGAGACTGTCCAAATCATAACATCCATTTTTCTTAAAAACAGCTGTTGGTTACAGCTGCATGAGATGCTAACTAGTAAGGCTGCCAACGTAAATGAGACGTCTGAGGTGGCTAACTCAAGTTACAGAGTAAGAGGATGAGGATATGAGGAAAGGTTTGTTGGGTAGTTCTGCAAGAGTAAACATAACAGTATTATGTGGTAGAAGATTGTTAAATTGTGTTAAGTGAGAACAGAGGCTCAGCATGGGAAAAAAATTACCAGAAAGATAAAAATAACTTGTGTTTTCTCTGTTGGTTTACTCTCAAAATTATAAGGATGGGAAAAGAATTCATGGCCTGAGGCAAAACAGAACAATTTGAGAAGATTGCAGGACAGGAGCTCGCTGACAGACTTCCCTACTATTTCTATTTTTTTTAGAGAACATTCGAACAGACTGACAAAGCCTTTCTGTCCTTGGCAGCAAGAGAAAGCCCCCTCTGTGCATTGCACTGAAGATGGCTGAAAAGCAGCAGAATTATGACGGAAACTTGGTGTTGGAGAAGAGTCAGCTCTTTGCCGGCTGTCAGGCTCCCGGCTGACAACTGTGGCAGAGTGGCAAGAAGACCAGATTCTCACCAGTTCACCAGAAAGATTAATAGACGTCCATGACTTACAATTTTCTATTTCAGCTAAACTAACAAAATAATTCCATTAAGAGATAGTTGATATAGTTCTAATCCTACATAGATGCACATTTTATATGGAGGAAGACAAGGAAATCCTGCGAGGGGGAATGAGTCAGAGTGAGCTGGACTTATCTTGTTCTATCTAGTGTGCAGCCTCAGACATTTCATTAACTGGAGCTCTTCTCTCACCACTGCATTATGTTTTTTTTTTTTTAAGGTGGGGAACTGTATGCAAGAGTCCACAGTCATTTAAGTGTGCAATACAGTGGACCATGAGGATGGTGGACAGGAATCATATCATCACTGTTATAAAATATCCTAACATCAACTACATCTGTTCCTGCGGGTTGAGGTGTAGGAAAACTGTCACAGCAAGAAAAAAAAAAAAAAAAAAACATTTATCATCAGCAAACCTCTTTTTTTCCATTGCTAAAGCAACCCTGGGAACCCTGAGTTATCTTTTACTTTGCTCTAATTTAAGTGAAATTAGAGAATCATCTCTTAAGATATCATTATGCATATCTGAGCTCCCAGAAAAGCCCCATGTAGTCTGCGCAGGTGTTCACTGTGCAACACCCAGGGATAGCTCATTAGCAAACTGCAGGTATCAGTGAAATCAATGCAAAATGGCAAGAAAGTCTGGCTGAGTCTAGAGCTGCTCACTGCCAGTCAACCAAGGCCTTTGCACTGACTTCACCTGAGGAGAGCGGCAGGTTTGTACAGACATTACATTTAAAATTCTCTTGAATAAAATAACTTATATGAATTAATTATATCCTACTCAGTGTGCCATGATTTATAAGTAAGTAATTTGATATCATGTTATTCTATGTGAAAGATGCACCATGAGGGCAACAGTTGGGATACAATGAACTATCAATCTTTTGGATGCCACAAAATTGCATTCATAAAAAAATTTATTTTAACATAATGCACAAAATGCATTTTATGTTATATCCTGTCAAGAACGTGGTGCATAATCAGAGGTTCCTATGTGGAAACCATCCACAAACTGTCTTATCTTAACTGTCTCAGCCCATTTTTACAGCCAGGAAATCCTTACGGTTGAAAATTTTGGTTTTATGCCAAATAACCTAAACAGCCTACACATTTTTAGGAGAATGTCTCTAAAATAATCTATTAAACTATTCCTAAAAAAAATCTACTAAGAAAACACATGAAAGATGTGTGCACTAGGTATTAATATAAAATTCTAAAGCATTATCAGAAGTCACGCAGCCTGCAATGGATCACCTTAAAACAGGTTCAGGTTTAGCAACACACTGTACCTGAACACCTGTCCTCTGTGTGCAGGTGTGCTGGACACCTGAGCAGCATGAGTGACCGTCACAGCTGTATCAACACTTGCTATAGTCCCTGCTGCCTGAGCTGTAGACTCATATTCAGGCTGTAAGGTGGACAACCAGCTTTAACACCTAGCTGGCATGTCCAGCTGTCTCTGACACTTCACTGTGACGTGGGCGGGATATATAAAATATGGCAAGTTTTGGTGTAAGCCACTTCCCCCTCTGTCCACACCTGTGTACAACACTTACCCAAAAACTCAGGACTTCCTGGTGACGAAATCTTGACAGCTTAGTTACATCTGTGGTTGCAGACTGAATCCCGTGGGTTTCCAGGGCACTTGGGAAGGGGCTGAGGTTCCAGGTTTACTTGCTTTTTGGGACAAAGGTAGAATCAGTTTGTGCAGACCTGAGAGACGGTTTCCAAATAAAAGGCCAGTGTTGTCCTCTTTGAGAGATGGTTGTATTTCAATCATTAGGCCAATTTGTGTGTTCAAAGTGGGCAGCTCTTGTTTCTCACCTATGCTGCAGTGTGTCCATACATGCCTTTGTCAGGTGTGAAGGCTTCTGAGGAAAACGTGAAGCTGGCTGTCACAGGGATCCCACTGCCTTCAGTTCAGTCCATCACTGAAGCCAAAGCTTGTCCATCAGCAGTGGCTCTGTTGTGCAGCTCAGCAGCTCTCCTCTGCTTATCCTCCCTCTCTTCTTCCTCTGCTCCCTGTCCTCCAACTCTATTGCAATCCAGGAACTGAGATGTGATCCCAATGCAGCTTCTTCTGTAATAAAGAGAATCTCTCCTGAGGACAGGTTTTGTCATCTTAATTGTTTGTTCTGGGCACATGTGACTTCAAACAGCCGCTGCGTCGCTTTATTATCTGGCAATAATACGAACTCCTGTTTGTGCTTTTGGTCTAACGATCCACAGAGCCAATTAGTTCATCACTTATCACTTACATTTACATTTAAAACACTCTACAGAGATCAACGACACTGCACGGATTCTGTACGATTACAACTGCAGCACACTGCACATTAATCATGCCGATTACAGATATTGAAATAAGGATAATATTGAAGGTGATGCCTGTGAGCTATGCCAACTCTGAGCATCACACAAACCTACTGCACACTGCGCGCACTAAAACCACAGAAGCATCAAAATAAACATCCCAGGGGTATATACAGGCGAAATCCCGATGATGTGCAGCAGCACCTGAACAATATCTGATTCATGTACATTTTTTGTTGACGTGCTCCTTGTTTCTAGCTCGACTGATTCAATCTTGGAAAGCGTCTGTAGTTCACCCTGCGTGGCATAACGACGTCCCCATAATCCAAAAATTCGTTACGAGAGGGTGAATCCGGTGCCAAATTGACGCTGTGTCCTTTGCGCTCTCGCGGTCCGTCACACCTAATTTTGATTTAACGGCAGTGCGTGAAAAAAGGTGCTCGGTAAACCGAGAAGTCTCTCCCTGGAGGGCGGAGATAATGCGTGAGATAGACAGAAACAGAAACCAACGCCTCCAAAGGCAGGCGAGTCCGCCCTGCGCTGTTCCATCTCTGGAGTTTGTAACACCCGAAAATAAAACGAAGTGATGACGGCCGGCCGCCCACTGCGCCGAATAATTACGATGGAGATGAGGCTTGGGAGTATAACAAAGTTCATTTAAGTTACTTCTTCAATATGGAGAGTGGGCAAAATGTCTCTTGGGTTAAAGTAGGGATGCTGCTTTTAATAAGGCTGAAGTTTGTACACCTGAAAAATTTCCATAAACTTAATTTTAGCCAACAGTAGGTGGGAAAGCGATGCTTTTCATAGATCTGGGATCTGTCAGAACATACACTTAATACATTTTCATGTAAACAACATTTTAATTAGACAGTGCTCTCAGCAGCTGCAAGGTGTAGCCTAGTGGTGACAAATGGGGAAATAGATGTTGACTGGCACAACAGATTCCTTATAACAAGATCCCCAGGGCCCCCAAAAGCCCCAGGTTCACTGTGTAGGAATGATGTTTTAAGGTAACTTCATTTTAACTTTACTTTGGAACTTTGGCCAGGTTTGACTTTTCTGCCAGACAACCATGCATTTTTTTTATTGGAGCCCCCTGCCTTGGCACAATTGCTGCACTGCTGGACCCACACAGAGCTTGAGTCGGTCTGAGGGCAGCTTTAGTTCCCAATATACATTAAGGTCCAAAAACACCTGATCCTACATTTCCCACAATGCACAATGCACCTTTAGATAGACTTGCCCTGCCTGCTAAATGCCCACAACTTTCAAATTCCATGTCAGTTTGTATCACTGGTTTTCTGTTACAAATTTTATAGTCTTCAAGTAGAAAATGAGATAACCGTGATTACATCACTATGACATCATCGGGGTTATTTTCCCAGGCCCCCCACAGAGACAGACAAAAGGATACAACTATTTCCACAGGTTGAGTGGTACTCTGAATGACAAATAACTCATGTAAATAAGTGGAGTTCCCCTTTCAGCTGAAACTAATATGAGTGGTCAGCAGTTGGAGTTAGCCAAATGAGGAGAGTATTTTCCAAATATACTGTCTTTTCTTCTTTTTAGCATGAAATTGCCTCTTTGTGTGTGAAGTGTTTCCTTGCTGAGATGCAGTGGAGGTATAGTCATACAAAAAGGCAAAAAGTGTAACTTTTGAAGATACACACTTGATTTGACTAATTCAGATTGTTTACCCTCATGTTAGCTTCTGCAGCTCTTGGATTTTGTCCCTGATTTCTTACGTTGGAGACCTGCTACGAAGGGAGGAAGATTAATAATAGAAGACCAGCATCTATTTCAGTGTAATATAAGTATTGTCTAAGACACGCTTGAAAAAATGTAACGCCTGCCCTTTAAAAGGTGCTCAGTGATGTTTTTTTGTGTTTAAAATAAACCCAATAGCCCATACACAGGAGAAATTAAAGTCTGTGGGTGTCTCATTTGGATTTTAATAGCCTGTAATCTGTTTTATTCTGGTCACTGAACAAAAGTGTCCATATAGGTGGGGAAGTGTGGAGGCAAGAGCAATTGTTGTAGTTCAAAGGATTTTTATTTTGATATGCTATGTAAACATGTTACATAAATATATTGCTAATTGTTAAAACCTGAATGTGTCATAGATCATTTCGTGGGCAAATATATGAAGAAGGTCTTACATAAATCCCCAGTAAAGAAGGTGTAACCCAGTTAGGGTTTTTTTTTCCCTCTAGATCACAAACATGACGCTATTGGTGAATTGTGGATATAAAATGGTTCAAAAACGGAGATGTGAGTAATGACAACATTTTTCCTAAATGGGAACAGTCATCTGAATAAATCATTAAAAGGTTCAGAGAGGATAAACCTACCGCATTAAAAGAGAAAACAGATTTAACATTTGCTTGTTTTCAGAGTCGTGTTTATAGACTGTGACATGGCTGCACTTTGCACTTGTAAAGTGTTGGTTACACTAGAGTCACTTAAAATATTTTTCTATTTGCATTGTCATTTATCTTCCTGGTATTAAACAAGCACATACATACATCTAGAAAGCAGGAGAAGACTTGACAAAACCGGATGGGGATAAGCAAAAATCAGTGATGTTACAGTTTCACAAAAAACTAACTTGGGACACTGGACAGCACAGGCAGTCTTCAAAAATACACCAAAAATATAAACTGGAAATGACACATCCCCACTCTTTCACTCTCAACCCTCACTCAATCACTCACATGCACACACACACACGCACGCACACACACACACACACACACACACACACACACACATCTCCATGGAAACTGATAAAAGAATAGCTGGTCTGCAAAAAGAAGAGATTGACAAAGCATATATAAGAACTTAGACGGTCGGCAAGAAGCAAATTTATGGAATAAAGAAAAATCGAGGAGGATTTGATGTATCCAACACCGGTCATAGAATATTAACCTGGCTATAAAATAAAAAAACATGAAGAAAACGCTACACATTTAAATCCTTTGGTTCTACAAACAGTGGCCTTTAGTATGTTCTCAATGCAATTTATCTTTCTATTAGTTTGTTGTTGTTTTTCTGTTTAAATTACAGGATATATTTTTGATATGATTGAGAACTGAAAAACTGCCCGATGCAACAAAGCAAAACCGGCAGAATACACATCAAGCAGAAAGATTTGAGTAAATATGAAGGAATGAAAGTTACGTGGATGTTGCAGATAGCAGAACAGAGAGGGTGGGCAACGGCAGAGGGGAGAGGACAAGGGAAGGAGTACAGCACAGAGTACAGCACAGTACACCACCTACACTCGTCTCCATGGCAACTACCACATTAGAACGAGTGATAATGCAGTTCCCTCTCTTCCTATTCTGAAAACTGTTCAATTGCTACCATATGCACTGTGCACTATGTGGGAGACAAAGCTTTCAGTATTCTGCTGTTGCAGATGATATGAGAAGTGTTTAAGCATTAAACTGCGACGCTTCTCAAACACTTCTGGCGAAATATTTTTACAGCATATATGCCTCATCCATCTATCTATCCACCAGAGACGTCGGTTTAGCCTGACACTGAATTCATCATCATCGCTTTAAGGGATAACTTGTTATTTTTTGAATTAATGTGTTGCACAGTGTGTGGGCAGCAGTCGCTTTCAAAGAACAACTACTGAGTTTGATTGAATTGAAAAGGCATGATAGAATCAAATAAATTATTTTTCCCAATGTGGTCCCTGCTGTTCCTGGTGTGAATGTAAGGCAACACCATAACAACTCAGAGCCTTTTTACGTGGTTTTTTGCAACATGGTCTTTGAAATCTGTATCCACAGAAAGTGAAGACATCAGCGTTTGACTTGGGGCATTACTGTGAAATAATGTGACAATGAGTAGATGACATTGCACAAATTGTGTGTACAGTCTGTGCTAAATTATATTTTGGGTTTAAACAATGAGTCTATGCGACACCCACCATTCCTTTTTTTAGCCATCGTTTCAAGGGCTGTTCATCCTAGTCTGGACTCATTTTGTTTTCTCAAAACTGCTTGTTTAACTCCACAGTAACACAGAATGCTGCTGTTAGAATAAGTAATTCTGCTACCAAAAATAAAGAATGAATCAACTGTGTTTGATCACGTCAGTCTGAGGGGATTTTTCTTTGTCTGGTCCTCTGTCGTTCAGCGTTCGTTTGTTGGGCAGATTGTCACGATTAATGCAAAGTACAATCAGTCTGTCTGTCAAGTCAGCAAATGACAAATACAGAGCAAGAGAAGGTCGGTTGTCGGACGGCCCACCAGGACAACTTCCAGATGGCTGGTCCACCTCTGCTGCTCACATCACCAGCATTGTTTGCATCATGACAGAGACCATCAGACTGCCTCAACAGTAGAGGAGATTTGATCTTGGCATCACCCCCTACTATATGCTTATCTTAACTGTATGCTGGTTTGGCTGTTTGTGTACGAGAAATCAACATACTTAACTGTTTTATACTAAAAGGAAATCGTTGATACTTGCCATCAAACTGTGACTTTAAAATGTTAAATGTTATATAAATGACATCAAGCAGAGACAGTTTAATATTATATTATTATTACTTATATTATTATATTATATATTTTTTCTGAGCTTCAGTGATTGTCAATTAATTCATTAGAAGATTAACAGAAAATTAATCAGCAACTATTTTGAATCAAATAACCATTTAAGTAATTCTTTAAGCAAAATGTAATGTTTCTAGCTTCTCAAACGTGAGGCTTTTCTTTGTCATATATGATGATAAACTGAATATCATTACATTTTGGACTGTTGGTCAAACCAAACAAAGTCACCTGAAAATATCTCCTTGAAATTATATAATGAAATTATAAATGGGCATTTTAACTGTCATTCTAAAGACAAAATAAGTGGTCCTAGCTATTTTTGTTTTCTGAGGTTTTTCTGGAACTATTATAACAACATTTTCTTTTGGTCCAGCCATCAACATCATCTCCTGCTTCTTTTGAGAACTGCATTTTTGTCATCAATGCTTAGTCACTTTTCTATTGTGAACACACTTTATATTCAAAAGCTTAGATTTAGTATGTAGTATGAACCTAGAACACATCTAACATCAAAGACATTCATCTTGAAATTAGGTTGTTTTAAATTATAAAAAATAAACCTTGCCATTTTCTATTTTTTCCATTATTCCACAAAACAGACTGGGTTTACAGAATATATGAAGCATGTACAGTAGTTTTTTCCTTAGTAGCTTAGCAATCAGAGCAGACAAAAAGAGCTAATGAAGCTATGCATCAAAAGCCTGATTACTTGTCTCAGAATAAAGATGTGGTTGCCTCCTTAGTGAGATCATGAACATCATCAGGACAATACAGGAACAGCAGGAGAAAATCTGCTTGAATGCAATGCGATCCTTTTGGCAGACATGTCAAATCTGAATTTTGGGAGCCTTCCTGCAAAAGGTAAAAAACTCTGCCTGAACCATCTGCTGGGGGCTCAGCTGACATGAATGCAGACACAGCAGGATTTGTACCTGAAACTCCAAACGAAATTCAACGTCAGCTTCACCAGTCAGCCATGACGCCATCATCACCATCGATCATGTGCACAGATGAAGTATGATCATCAGCTGAAAAACAAACCCTTTTTTTCTGATTATAGTCATGTTGTGAAAGGTACTTACTGTATTTCAAAAGTGGGATTTTTACTCTTGATTATTTTAGGCACTGAAAGCTGTCTGACTAGACATTCACATTGTATTTGTTCCCCATCAGGCTTTTATATAACAGTGACAGGCTGAGATGGTCAAAAGCTACAAGACGCTGAGAAGGGGAGTCGTGTTCATTGCATGAGGGTCAAAGGTGCAACGCTAGTCAAGTACTCAGCGGGGATCAGGGTGACTTTGTTGCTCTGTGATTGTACCCTGACAGAATAAATATAGAAAACCTCATTTAAGGCCTAGAAGGATCAACACAACAGTATTGTTCGCTGTGACAATTGAGAGTGGAGCTCAAACAATTTTCTGCTATTGACAGTAAAAGAAAAAAAGCACCTTTTATAATAGCTTCACAACACGCTGAAACATATTCAAACGTTTATAAATCGACTGTCTGGTTTATTGAGCTACAGTAAATCGACTGGTATTATTCAATGTCTTATCTCACCTGGTGTCTGGCAGTTAGTAGAAATCTGAATTAAAATCAGACTCAATGTTAATAAAGATAAAATAAGGACATTAAAAGTGGAGGAAATATAGGTTTGCTGTCAAATACCAACTAAGGTCTGTCATATTTCAATGCTTGGTGTTCTGTTGAAAATTAACAATGAGCAATAGCAAAGAGTATTTATATTTCAGTAGGGTTGGAATGAAGGGTGAAAAAACATTTAGCTAGTTTTGATGACACCGAAAACTTCCACTGTATGGGTAGATTCAGAGTGGATTTTATGTCATGAGGGGCATTTTAAATGTGCAGTTCCACAGAGGTCCTTGCAGTGTAGCTGTTGTTTCAGTGTTTGATGTTTGTGTGTTAGAGTTCATGGAAATACAATATATGAATAAGTTTCAAATATTTATTTTTTGTAGTATGTAAGTATGTACAATTGTAGAAACAAAAAACCTTAACAGTAAAAAAAGCAAATAAAAAAAATCAAAGCTGCCAATGTGCAGAATCAAACCTATTTTGAATTGCAAAGCCAAGTTGTAGTTTTTCATCCACTCACCCGGGATTTGTCTGGGTATTAATGTACAGAACGAACTCTCATACACAGAGACAACACTAGTGAGACTTATTTTGCAGTTTAAGGGAATGTACCAACCAATCTGGTTTGTCCGTGTTAGTTTTTTACTGAACACTGAACATTTTTGCAAAATATTACCTTTCATCACTTCAACACCTGTAACGTAATTATAACAGCTTCTGCTTAATCCCAAAATGTCTTTTTTCTCCAAATTCCCGGTGCCAGTTGCCAAGTTGTTTGGAGAAATGGTACCTGTGGTGGTGGTGGTGATCAATTGGTTATGGTTTTCCCACGTGTCACACAATCAAGTCACTGTGCCTCAACTGAGAAATATAGAAAGACACACATACCTATATCCTAAATTTTTTATGAGACTAGCCTATGTTGAAACCGCACTTTGTTTAACAACCATTTTCTGGCGAGCACCCTTCGTTGCCGAGGAGTCATGTCCCGTCACCCCTCCCGAAGTGTTTGGAAATCCATGAGCAGCCACGTATTTACGGTACGCTTCCCGGATGATGCGGAAGGCTCGTGTGTTAGCGTAAGGTATGTCAGTGACTGGGTCTCGGTACAGTGCAGCCTTGTGAGTGACGGGACAAACCTCCTGGACGGGAAGCTGAGGACTTGACTGTGCGCTGCGTGGAAAGGCCGCCTCGAACGCCTCATCATCACTGAATGTTATGTAGGTACGGGAGCACAAGCCTCCAGCAGGCTGCTGGGAAGGTGTGGTGGGATTTTGCGGTGCAGTCTGAGGAACGTCCTGATCCAACCTTTGTAAAATGGTAAAATGACAAACATTACATTTGTGCCACATTATATGCTAATAATCTATATAATCATTACCAATTAATTAGCAAGTAACTCATTTTTTTCTCTACCTAATTTTTTTTTTTTTTTTTTTTTAGTGGTTATAACAGGTCAAGGTCAGGAGAACTGATAAACAGAACTAGTAATCATGGTCATATGTTTGGGTATACGCCACTCTTAAATGATTAAATACCTCATGGTGATGATTTAAAACAAAATATTATTTTCCACAAGCCCAGATTACTTGACATAAACACAAAATCTGTACAGTATATACTGGCTCAGAGAGGTATGTCATCTACCTGCCTAGCATGAGCCAGTCTAGCAAGTCTAACATGAGATCATACGTACCCCTCAACATCTACATTTTCTTCTTTTAGGACTGAGTGAGAGACAAGGGGCATCAGGACTGAATGGTAACGGATAGTTGGTCCTTCAAAACGCCGCTTCTTGTGGACTTGTTTCTTCTTGTCTGCCTCGAGACGTTCATAATTCTCTACACACAGAAAGTAAAATGAATAGGTGCATCCACATTTCATATTTAGTGTCATTAAGTGAAACAGCTAGAGACAACTTGAGACAATATAGTCGTAAATTCATATTCGTAACTAATGTACTAACAACAATAACTAGTAAAACTCATCATTATACAATATCTACAAGGACTTTGTGTATGCCCAAACAAATGGGCTACAAAAATGGTACTGATAAAAGTCAGACATATGATCACATATGTGTCATCACTATAACATCCTAAATACAGAAGCTTGAGCAGTAAGTATTTGGCATGAAGACGGAGAAAATTTTGGTGCCAAAACTCTCTTTCCATTGAGTAATTTGACCAACATGTTCTCACCTAGTGACCGAATGTTGATCTCAGCAGTTATCTTGGCCTCAGCCAGCAGTTCTTCCTGGGTAAGGGGCCGGTCACGGTGAGCACCTCTCCTTCTCCGAGGGGCATCCTGACGCTCTTGCAAGCGCAGATTGGTCTTTCGGGTATGTTCACTGGTGGACTGTCGCACAGACTTCCGAGCTAAAAGAATGATTAAGGCACCCAGCTCAGACAAACCCTCAAACAAAGATGAAGAATGGTGTTCAGAAACTAAATGTTTATTTAAAAAACTTACCCTCTATCATAATGTGCTTATTACATGGCGGTTTGTGTGTTAAACCAATTTAAGTGAAGTGTTTCTAGATAATTTATGTCGAAGTATCTGACAACAGAGCGTTTTTTGTGGGAGGGGTTGTAGCAATCTTACTCTCGTTAAAATCTTGGAATTCTTGTGGAATCCTCCTTTTGAGCTCCACTTTAGTTTTCTCAGTCTTCTTCTGTTCCTCAGAGGGTCTTTTCGGTTTGGGTTTTGCCACTTTTATGGGTTCCTTGGATTCAATAAAGACAAAAGCCATCTATTTCATAAATGTATATGAGCAAAATATGTCCAAACTTTCCCAACAGCAACTTGCAGAACTGCTTGTGACTATAATGCAATCTAATACTATAATATGGAGGCAGAGCTAAATCAATTATCTTTCTGCTCCCTTTGCTACTGTTAAGAGAATTGCATTTGGCAACCAAGCTGCAGTGGCTACACAGCATCCACAGTAAAAAGCAGCTTCACGAGGTTCATGCGTGTCTGAATAGCAGGGCTGAAAAGTACACATGCTGAGAAAAATATTTCACAGGATGACGCTGAGAAAAAATAAGCTGGAAGCTAAATGCAAGTAAATTTGGTTTTAGAGGAAAAACAAACAGTTTTCATGTTCATGTAATAAACAAAAAAATGCTCTCATGTCACAGCGTTTTATGCTGCAATGTCATTTAAAAAGGTCTCTTGGGTATGAATACAGACTCATGAAGATGATTCACTTATTAATTCTGAGATCTGATTCAGAGTCTGACAGCTGCTGAAATGACTGTTGCTACCTTATAAGCTTTAGTGACAACTCGACTTTTCCGCCGAGGTGCATCCTCCTCCTGGTCGCTGTCTGGCTCGTCTCCCTCATCGATGTCAAAGTCGCTGTCCACCTCGTCTTCTGTGTCTGAATGTTCACCATGATACTCATCATCTCCTGATTCCTGAAAGGAAACAAAAAGGCACACTAATGAAGCCTAATATTTATGAAATATGATTAATGGAGACTACCTGCTAATGAAACAACCTTGAAAATAGACCCTACAGTCAGTTGACAAAACCAACTTTCACTTGAGGTTTTATATATATTGTATTCAGACATTTTTACCAAGTTAATACAAGTTAAATAAATCACACTAGTATAATGTAGATAAGTTAAGTTGTATAATGTACATGTCTGCTGAGAAAGGGACTGTTAATCTAGGAATATGGGGAAGAAGAATCTTCCCCATACAACAAGCAGGTTTAGTTTTGATTCAGATACTCAGGCTACTCACACTCACCCATTCACTCACTTCCAGACCTACAACACAAACCTGGATCCTTTTAAGCCAAAAGCCAATTAGCAGCGGTTTTCAGCTATAAGAGACTCCTCGCATTGATTAGTATATGAGTTTTCAGATCAGCATGAGACAACTGACAGTGCTCAATGTGCTATGTGAAAAGGCATGGTCACAGTGTTTTATCAAAGTGACAGCAGAAATGACTGAAGCATTTCAGGATTTGTTTGTGATTTTTTTTTTTCATCCAGTTACTCTTGTCAACCTCAGCTGAGACAACGTCAGAACTGCCAGAGGATCTTCTGCCAAATCCCCCTACACAAGATGACCCTTGACCCAGCAGCTGTTTGAAGAAAATAAGCTAGACTGTAAAATGTGGATCATCTTAAAATGCAAGCCTTAAATTAAGTTGCTTGAAAATCAAAAAATAGCATAATGTTCTGACAAACAATATAGATTGAACCCTTTGCACTGTAGACTTTCTACTCTTTTAGGGTCTGATGCTAAAAAGACTGGCACTCTCTTCACAGATTTGTTAGCTGTAAAGATGGGCATTGTATGTACTGTATATATTTCCACTTACTTTGGCTTTGAACACACTTGAAAAGCTGTACTCACAGACCAGAGAAACCAAAGCTAATGGATATTTGTCTCACTGTCAAAATCCTGCAGTCTGAGAAGCACTTTTTGAAAATGAAAAATCATAACAAAAATTGTTCTTCTGACACAGAAATATCAGCTGTGACATTAATTGCAGAAATTATGGTATGAACAGTCAAAGTGTCATGTCTTTGAGACATACATCAACTTACACTAAAGACTCATGTAATTTGTTATACTGAGAGATGTTTCTAAAACTTTGTCCGAGCCATGAACGTTAATAATACTTAGAGTAACTATTCAAAAACAAGTCCTTGCACCTCTCACTCTCCCCGGGCATTAAGTGCGTAACCTAGTTTAAAATAACCCTCTTACTTCCTATGCATTAAACATACAGTACTGACCTGTAAGGCTAATTTAATGTCTCTTCTTGTTATTGTTAATAATCGATTAGTCTACCTACATAAAACAATTCCATACGTCCATATTTGATAACACTTCACTACTTCTGCTACTGGGTTATTCTCTACTTCGTCAGATAAAAATAATTTGAGCTTTTTGGCTTGTTGTCAGACTAGGGACAGGCATCACTTAACCCTCTCAAAACTTGTGATGGGCTTTGGTCAATGAACGTTACGCCATTCAATTTTTTGAATGATTAATAAGAAGATAAAAAGAAATAATAATAATTCTGGATTTATTGTACTCAGTTGCAGGCAGCCTAATATCTTCCAATACAACAACCCGTTCGCGAAATTATGAAAAGCCTGCAAAATCGACTATTACAAGCTAGCTGGGAGCTAATGCTAGCTGACTCCATGTCCATCAATTTCATCACTCACATCGTTGAAGCCTCCATAAGTGGTCTTGTAGAACTCATCCTCTTCTTCAGCATCCAGGAGTTTAGACATGCGGTTTCCCGCAGTCTTTCTGGGTTCCCGACCGACTGCCAGACTCATGGCTGTTAATTTCTAAACAACGCTAATTTACGTTTGGGTATCTATCTGAAAGCTAGTGTTGTGCTAACAGCTATAGACTACCGGACTTCTTTTACTTCGCCGTTACTCGCTGTGCTTACTCATTTATATGCTTGTACCCATATTTTATTTAAGTTGTGAATACGGTTTAAATTCACACTAATATGCCAATAAAGTTCTTTGTAACATGAGATAAGTACACCACTAACGCTAGCCGATAGTAGCCACTGCCTTTTTTGTAGCTAACCAACACATCCGGGGTAAATGATGTACTTCCGAGTTACGGTAAAAAGCTACGTTCAAAATAATATTGCTCTTAACTTAGTATTTGTACGATTTGACCTTTCTATATACAGTCTATGGATTTGACTCGATAAAGCATACAGTCTGCGAAGAATTCTGCATGCTGTTTAACTTGATATTGCATCAAGTTATATTAATAATTATAGAAATAATTATATTATTTCATTTAACATTAACACCTTAACTGCTGAATCGTTCGATACTGTTGTCATGGAAACCGGTAGAGTTGGTACCTTACACTAAGAGCGAATGTATTTCCATGGCAACAGAATGATTTGGCTGAACCTCCTTCTGGCAGTTTTGATGAACGTTAGATTTTTTGTTCATTGTCTTATTTCAACGACCATCCCTAGGCTCAGATCTTTTTTCTCAGCGAAGCTTACAGAGGCTCCGTACAACGAAAATTTACGTCACAAATGTACAAACTGATCTTTGTGTGCTCAGTGCATTGGATTGCTTTTCAAGACCTATCATTTCATGGTAATTGTTAACTTTACACAGTAAAAGGCTCCACTCATGTGATGGAGGTATCAGCTCATTTGAAGATTTGTAATTCAAATGTGTCTGCAAAGATTAGGGTAGGCCTACATGGTAGTTTAGACATGGACAGATTAAAACTAAAGCTATTTCTCTACCCCTTGTGGCTCTTCATTGGCTATAGTGTATAATTCAGTGTTATGTGATTTTCTAGTGTCATGTGAAAAATTACTTTAAAAATCTGCTCTGTGAAAACATTCACAAAGCAGACACAATGCTTTCTGCAGCTGATGTTTTTTTGTGTAATTTTGGACTCACTGAGTCACTGAATAAGGACACCAAAATCTACAAAATGACATTTTTGAAAGCACAACCATTTTATTTTATGCTGCTTTTTGAAAGAAATCATATGAAGTGATTTATTGGGGAATAAAAAAACAAAAACAACAAAGTTACATAACACACATCCATTAAAGAACAGTACAGTAAATGTGACAATATCACAATACTGGCAAAAAATATAAATATATCAAATTAACTTGAATAGAAATGACATTCTATATATCTTATATACATATATATATATGTCTTTTTGAGTTTGCTACAGAGATGTTAGCCAAAATGCTCACATTTAAATAAACATATTAATTGTCAGCGTCTGCTACGCACAAGTTAACATGCCACTAAAATTCAATTCTAATTGTAATTTTTCAATTCTGTCTAGAAATTAGGGGTTTTAATGCCAGATGGTTTCATATTTTACAGCTTAAAAACTGTAGTTTTACCAGTTTTGTTTAACTTGAAAAAAGACATTTCACTTATTGGCTCATATAAGTTTCATGGTGAACCTGCTAGTCTCCATATAGTTGCCTGTGCCTCCATTACTACTCGACATGGCACCTCGTGGCACATATGCAATCGTAGCTGTGTGTTTTATTTGCCCTTTGCTCTTACTCCAAAAGAGCATGAAAATAAAACATATGCTCACAGAGCTGAAAAATGAAAGAAACCCAATGGTCGCTGCTATTAGTAACGTCTTGACATCAAATGGGAGTTTCTGATTTCCATTTACACCTGGAGAGGCAGACGGAAAGGCAAACCAACCTTTAAGACGAAACGGGTTTTTAGAAGATGATGGAAAGGCCCGGACATGAAGGCTGACAGGCAGGCTGTCATTTCCTGCTGCATTAGATGCCACACAGATATAAGTGCCACTATCTTGAGGCTGAGCATAACGAACTTCCAATGAGCCATTAGAGAGAGCCCGTATTCTACCAATAGCTGATAAAGGTCTTAGCTGTGGGTTTAGCCAGCTTACAGATGGCAGAGGGTCACCTTCTGCATTGCAGTAAAACACTACTGTGTGTCCCTGATCTACTTTCACATCCTGAGGTTTGCGGTTCAGAATTCGAGGCTGGTGACAGGTGAGCAGGCCTGGTATCTCAACTTCAGAGAAATCAAGAAAATTCCAGCCCTGCAGATGGACTGAGGTAGTGCAAGTCGGTGACTTTCCACCAAAGTCCAGGTACAGGTGTCTTCGCACCACCCACAGCAAACGGCAGTCGCATGCCAGTGGGTTGCTATCAAGTCCCAGAGTTTTCAGGGTGTCAACTGACTGAAAAGCACCCACCTCGAGTGTGGTGAGAAGGTTTCTAGATACATTCAGCAATTTGAAATGTGTTAAGCCCCTGAATGCCCCGATTCCAATGCGTAACAATGATCCCCCAACCAGATGGAGCTCTTGGAGCCGGAGCAAGTCTCCAAGCAGGTTCCCCTGAATGTAAGTGATTGGATTGAAGGAAAGGTCAAGGAATACAAGATATACAAGATGATGCAAAGGAATGTAGGGGATAGCACTGAGGTTGCAGTGTCTAATGGTGAGGGATGTAAGATTTAGGCCAAAGAGGCTGTTTCCCGACAGTGTCTCCAGCCAGGAGCAATGAGAAATGACAAGTTCCTTGAGGCGCACTAGATGATGGAAAGAATAGTTTGGCAGTGTGGTGAGGCCCAGTCGGCGAAAATGAAGGCTTCTGAGTACGCTGAGCTGTGTGAGCGCCTCTGTTGGCACCGCAGTGAGGTTGCAGCCATCAAGGTGCAGCTCCTGTAGACTGGTTAGTCCGGTGAAAGCTTGATTAGAGATGAAAACTAAGTCATTATCTGCTGCTTTAATATACTGCAGGGCTGCCAAGTCATGGAAAGTAAAATCTAGGAAAACAAGGATCTCATTGCTGCTTATGTCCAGTAACTGCAGGTTCGGTAATCCAGCAAATGCTCCCACAGGAATAATCTTCAAGTGATTGCGGGCAAGACGCAGAGTTAGCAGACTTTGCAAGCCGTGAAAGGCTTCCAGTTCAACCACTGCCAGAAGGTTGTCACTTAAATCCAAGTCTAAAAGTTGTGTTAAAGTTTGGAAATGCTGATGCACCAGTGTTTTTATGTTGTTATGAGTTAAGTTTAGCAGTTTAGCATCTTGTGAGAGATCGTTGGGCACTGTGCTGAGTTGGCCATAAGAGCAATTCACCTCCAGCAGCTCGGTGTTACAGCGGCAGGACTGTGGACACGGCTGGCGCGTTTCAGATGTTAATGCCACTCCTGTGGCCAGCAGGTAGAAAACTCCCCAGCACAGCCGTTTGTGGACGGCAATTCCCTCAAACATCTGGTGGCCTGCCTGCATGTGTGCGAGCGAGAGAGAGGAAGCCATGAGAAGAATGAGAAACTGGGGGAACATAACCTAACTGCAACATACAAATACAACAAAGCTGACAGTGTTAAGATGTGGCCTATTGCATTAATCCATTCTTTTAAAATTAAAATAATTGTCTAAATTTAAAAACAAAAGAATTTCTTACCTCTTGGCTAACAGGAAGTATCTTTTCATAACCAGACAGCTGCTGATGGAGGGTCCTGTCTTCATAGACTTACAAATACTGAAGAAAAATTAAGACAGAAAGCAAAGGAAGTCGTCAAATGTTGCTCATGTTTGTCAGACTTTGAATGTCTGTGAATTCAGTTTGTACTCATGTTGATTTCAGTGCTCCAGTAATCCTCAATGAGAACCTACAGAGGTACCCCCATGCTCAGGTTCATTCTTTTTTTTCTTTTTTTTTGCAATGATTGCACAAAATAATGTTGCTGGCACCTCAATAGTACAAACATCATGACTAAATTTCAACAAACCAACTACTTGCAGGCAGGAAGGGGGCAAGTTTAAGCAGTGTAAGTGAGCTACAACGTTTTCAGTGGAGAGTTTGGTTTCGTTGCTGGTTTGTGAGACTGTGTCGCAAGAGTTCTTAGGACTTAAGTAAGCTGGCTCTGATTTGAGCACTATAAACCTCAAAACGTCACTTTTAAACCACTGTTGACCTCTAAAAGACCAACAGAAAGTGTCAGCTCTTATCTCCTTCTATACAACTTTGTAGAGCACGTGACCTTCTGTGCAACTGTGTGATTTCACTTCAGTCAAACAGGTGGTGCAGTGTCCCATTCACCGCTAAAACATGCGTTAGACTGTCGCTGTACATTCAAGCTGTTACACCACTTATCTAAGACCCACAGTCCTGTGGACAGTTTTATTTGACCTTGACTGCTCCACCTGAAATAGATGAAATAAAAAGAAAGAGCAGGTTGTCATCTCACTCTGTTTTTGTTTTAAGCAGTTTGACAGCAGAAAGAGGGAGAAAGTGTAAACCTGCACCGCATGAGGCAGCACATGGACTTAAATGCTCAATTATCTGGAGGTCCACAATTATTGTAAACATCATCTGTCTTTGGTCAAATTGTAATGTCAAAGGAACACATATTCCTCTGCATTTAATACATTCAATGTTTATTTTGATGCTGTGATTACTGTAAGAGCAGATTGCAGGCTCATTTAAAAGACGTTTTTTCTGGTATTTTGGAGAATGTTCTGCGTCTCTCAGGGCATGTAGAATCTATTAGCTGGAAAGTAATGTGTAAAAAGGCTGTATCGACCTTTTCAACCTGTTTCAACCCAATATTTTTCTCAAACAAAATAACAACAGAGCTAAATTTTATATTTTAAAGTATGTTGTGGATGCTCAGATCCAGAAGAACTGGTGTGAATAAAATAGTAAAATAATGTTCTATTGTCATATTATCAACATTAAAAAACTGTAGCAACAATAATAGCAACAATAGTTTTCTAAGGTTTAATGTTAAGACTGTGTAGGGGACCACTACTACTAACATTTGATCACCTCACTTTATTTGAACAGTCGCTAAAACCACCAGTAGGGTGCGACAAGAGCAGAAATACATCTGTGCATTGGTTTGAAAAAATGTGGTGATGCTGTCCATCTGCAGGCATTTTCTAACATGGCATGAAAGTTGACTGGAACTGTAAAAATGTTACCATCCCATTGCTATCTGTAATCACACAATGTCATCTTTCATGTGTGATCATTTCATGTGAACATGTAAAAACACTTTTTTTTCCTTATGGAAACAAGAATCTGAGGTAGCAAACAAACT